AAAAATGGCTTAGAAATAGACAAAAAAGCAATTATGGAGTGCGTGAGTTGGACCCTTTCAATTTTTGAACTCGCAGCTCGAAGTGCAATCATTAATAAGTAAAGACCATGCACTCAAACTGAAACTCATACTGAGGCACGCAAGAAAAGAGAAGAAAAGTCGGCTTTCCTTTGGTTACACAATAGCCGGCAATATTCTGGGAATTAGCGAGGCAAAGTTCAGAGCACCACCCTCTCTGTAAACAGAACACAAAAAACTACCCATGGTGGTTGGTGGTTTGGGTGGTGGTGCTCCATAAATTAGAGCGACTTGGCAATATGGCTAGTCGGACAGTTTTATGGCCACGGAACACACATCGAAAATGCACTTTACAAATGCTGAAAGAAGCCGACCCCCTTTTCCATCCCCCAAACCCCTTTGGTTTTTCTTTTTCTTTCCGATTTTTTTGGGGGCAAAGTTCCTTAGTGTGTCAGTGGTGGTTTTGCTTTGTTGTTACTGTTTAAGGAGCGCCGATTAGAGGCTGATTAGGGCGTCATTAAGTGACCTACATAGCGGTTAATGATTGGAAACGAGGATGCGTTAATCATTGTACGAAAATAGATGTTAGTAATCACAAGCAACGAGGAATAGTCGGTATAAAAGCCTCAAAGGTTCTCCAAAACTGCATAACCGGTTTAGACCCGATACCCAACCGATTCAAAAAAATTGTTCATTTTGAATTGAAAAATATATGGGAGGTTGAACACGAACCATTGACTCATTTAATCAAAACTGCTTAACCGGTTTAGACCCGATACCCAACCGATTTAAAAAAATGCCTAATTTCGAATCGAAAAAGATATGGGAGGTCGAATACAAGCCTTCAACTCACTAACTGAGCTGCCGACAACCAGCTGCAAAAATCCAGGTCACATCCACACTCTGCTCTAATATTACAAAACAACTTTCAGTCATGCCGCCAAACGCATAGGAAAGACGGGTGAAATTCGCGGCTCATCTCGAATTGCAATTTGTTTATCGGCAGAGTGAAAAAAATGAGGTTAAATTCCCGCTCGTCGTCCCGCTGACAACTCCATATCATTTTACACTCACGCCTCATTTGATCCGTGTAAAGAGTAGAGAGGATAGAATCGTAGAACCAAAATCAAAACAAGAAGCAGTGGGAATTATTTTTAAATGCAGAGCCGGACGATTGACCGAAAGACCGGGAGATTCTGGCGGAGGAGGAGAAGGCTTTCCAAGTTGAATGAACCACACACCGGGCAGCGAATATATCGAACAGATAATTATAATGAGAGCAGATGGTCTCGCACCGCAACTGGCAATACTTATGTTTCCCAAAAAACAAGGTGTCTGGCCAAAATGGTAATTAATTTCTTGATAAACTCACGAAATAAAAATAATAAACATTTTTCTCTGCCAGAAATTTTTGTTAAGAAATTCTCAAGATCTGTTTAAACAAATATAACATTTAAAGTACTTATAATTTGCATTTTAATTCTTCAAAAATGTTCAAAAGTGTTTAAAAATGTTTTGAAATGCTAGAAGTTCCATCTTAGGTTTTCTTGTTTTCATGTAAAACTTTTCCCTATTCCCAATATATTTTTCAAAAAATTTGCCAGAATGTGCAACAAAATTGCCTCGATGTAAAAACTGGAAAAAACAAAAAAAGAAACTAAGTAAGCAACAATAAATAATCTGCACAGCCGCCAAACGAGAATGAGATCATTTTTGGACGCCTCTCAGGCTTTTATATTCCAGTTTCTTCATTGCGCTCTCCATTGTATACAATTTGTTAACCAAATGTTTTTAGCCTCGTAAAAATTGTTCAAATTTCCACCGACTGGAACAGCGAACATACAACAAAATAGAGAAAAATACAGAAAAAAAAGGGGGGAAAATGCAGGTCAGACAAATGAAACAGAAACAAAGCAATGGCAAATAAACTGAAACTGAAACTGCGACAAAGAAACGTGGAAGCGGAAATGGATTTAGATAAACCCAGGCTACACAAGTTATAAAGAACGCAAATAACGTTATCAAAGAAAAGCACGAAATGTACAAAATAAGTACCAACACAAAATAGCGAATCCCCAGACTCATAAAGGGTAATCGTTCGGTTAGTTTTGTGGAGGTCAATATCGTTATTCTCACTTAGCCTCGCCGCTCAAATTACTCAAATTGAAATTCAAATGCAGCACGGCAGCGAATTGTTTATTATGATACCCTCGAATCGTAATGGTTATGCACGAATTGTTACTTTAATATCAAGTTCTGCGGAATACCAAATTTTTCTGGGGAATTCAAAGTTGAGATAAAAAAAAGCACTGACAAATCATATCGATTTCCCTTTGAATTAGGTTTAAAGCATTTTGTGTGTAGTATTAGTCATATGATTTAATGATACGATAATTTCAGTTGTTAGCAAATGTTATTTAGCTTTTGAGAGCACATCAAATAAAAGATTGTACTTTTAAAATAATTGAATATTTTCTACAAAGTAAGTAATTTGTTTAAATTTGTTTGGATAATTATTACTGGATTACATAAAATAAAACAATTCTGTTTATTTATCTCATAAACAAACTGACTAATTTATTACTAATTCAATTGTATTTTCAAACAATTGTAAAATAAACTAAATAATTTTAAAAATACTGGATTAGATTAAATTGAAAAATTCTGTTTATTATTCTCTAGAAAAGATGACTAATTTGTGACTAACTTAATTGTAATTAAAAAAAAAAATTTTAATTAATGGGATAAATTCTAAAATACTGGATTACATAAAATCCTAAAAATTCAGTTTATTATTCTCATCGAAAAACTAAGTAATTTTATGTAATTTGTGTCTAATTTAATAGCTTTAATTTATGAAAGCTGCCAAAATGTGTAAGAAACAACCAAAAATGGCCAAGAAATTGAACAAAGCCCGAGTCTTGGCTTATAAATAGCCCTTATTAGGCCGCCGGAAAGGTGAAAGTACAGCAAACATTACCGCCACCCCCACATTTCCCCGCATTTTTCACTCCAGAGACATTCAACTCACCTGTTGCTAGTAGATCGACCAAGAAAATGACGTGTTTTATTTGCCACTTGATTTGCAACCGGTTCTCGTTCTCCTTTTCGGTCACTTCTATTTGCTATTTGCTTAATTTGTTTTATGTTTTCCTTGCTGGTTTGCTCGGTTTATTCCACTACTCTAAAAAAAATATTCATACATATAAAACGTGTGTGTTAACAACTTTTCACAGAATTCTGATTGATGCACAGCGCAAAAAAACTTGTATATACGTGAGGGGGAAAAGAAAAAAAAAGAATGCGAAACACGCGGCGGAATGAATTTTTATCTTATCTTATCAGCGAGTGGGTGGAAAAGGGGGAGTTGGGCAATTTTCCATTATCAACTGATAAGGTAGACATTGATATTTTGCTCTGTTTGTTGTTTGCCCTTGTTGTTGTTGTTGTTGTTGTTGCTGATGTGCTGTTCTTGTTGTTCTGTAAGTTAATAGTAGTCACCAATTGTTTAGCATTTTTGAGGCATTTCTAAATTGCTCAGTTGACGTCAGAGCTAAAAAAAAGGCGTGAGATCTCCTAAATGCACAACCAAAAAAATGTTAGGTCTCGATTTAGGTTTAAAAAAATAAAATTAAATAGGTAACTAATAAAAATTAATATTTAATATTGGTAATAAGGAAAAATAAATAACATTTTATAATTCAATTAGTTTTAAATATTTTTCTTAGGGATCTTTTGGCAATCCCATTTCTCTCAGTGTACCTGAGTCATCTGATCGCTAAAACGGGCTCAGTGACGTCATGACATCAAATGACAATAAAAGGGTTTGCACTTGAATTTGAAATGAAGCCAGCAACAACAAGTAAAACAACAACAACTGGTTCACCTTCAGCTGATCAGCGCACCTATTGCCGTCTCCCTCCCGCACACTCCATTCAAATTTCAAACAATTATTATTATTTTGTTTTTTATTCTACACTTGCAAAAACAAAAAGGTACACACAAAAGATACAAAAAAAAACACGCACGTTCGCGAACAATGTGTATAGGTGTGTGTATTGAATTACGCGCTATTTATATTAATAAATTGCACACTCGCTGTATTTTCACCGTTAGTTCAGTGCGCGCGTCACTTACGAAAAGGGAGGAAAGGCAAGGGGGAAGGGCGAGGGGGGAACGAGAGGGAAGCGCGCGTACACTTACGCCAAAATGCCGGCAAAACACGAAAACACGGGGATAAAAATACCCTTTTCCAAAAATGCGTCCGTTTCGTTCAAAGTTTTTTTTTGAATGGGAAACTGGGGAACTGAGGAACCTTCACCCCTCCGCTGTATGGAGAACTTTTGGAAAAATACCGATAGAAATACCAAAAAGTATGAACGTATGCGCAAATAGCGGAAATGCCAAAAAGCTCACAGCGAGAGCTTTGCACTATTATTTTAAAATAACCGCTTTTTAAAAACTACCTTGTAATTAAATAATTTATAAAACTATAAATAAATAAATGCTTTTTATCCTCACACTTACAACGCTTAAAAATGATGACACGTCGTACGGGGTGAACTGAAAGTGTTGGAAAAATTTATTTGTTGCAAATGTTTGTTTAAAAAAAAACAAGAATACTAAATTGAACGATTTAAATGGAATATGTTTAAAAATAATATATGTTAGGTATTCAATACAATACAATACGAATAATACAATATTATGGTTCTTCAAAGCTAACCAATTTCATTCGTTTGAAATAATAAAGTTGAAAATGTTTGTTAAAAAAGAAAAAACAATAATGCTAGATTGAACGATTTAAATTAAATATTTTTAAAAATTATATTAATTAAGTATTCATTACAATACAATACGAATAATACAATATTATGGTTCTTCAAAGCTAACCAATTTCATTCGTTTGAAATAATGAAATAATTTTTACCTTCAGGCAAAAAAAAAATCTTAAGAATTCACTGAAAATTACAATAGAAAAATGAAAAAAAAGGCTAAATAATATGGCAAGGACTTAATATTAAATATTAAATGCCTATAGATACAAATGGGACTTGCAAGATGGTCATGCATATATTCCAAGGAAACTTCAATCCTCGGAAAAGGGATAAATTATAAATTAGAGATTAATTAGACATGTGCCCTGGGTGCGCCGTCCAACAGCTGAGCCACATCGGCCACGCTGTCCGCATAGAAGTCCGGCAGGCGGGCGGGATCCTTCTCCCCGAGGAACTCCGCCCGCGTGCAGCCGCCGCTGAGGACGAGCAGCGTCTGGAAGCCGCACTGGCGGCCAAAGCCAATGTCCTGGGCCAACATGTCGCCGATCATGAGCACCCGACTGGGCTGCTCGATCTTGAGATGACCGATGAGCAGGTCGCCCAGCTGGCGTCCCGGTTTGCCCAGTGTAATGGCTTCTAATGGCCTGCCACTGGCATCCGCCAGCATGGAAGCAAACGCCCCCGGTCCCAGGATATTCACGTCCTTGGCCACGGGCAGCAGGATATCGGTGGCGCCGCCAATCAGCAGGCAATCCGGATGACGCAGATACTGATGCGCTCGAGCCAACTTGGGATAGCTCAGGTTGAAGTCCACGTCGATGACCACGGCGCGCACCTCCTGCCGGTCGAAAATGTGCTCCGCCAGGCTGGCGAAGCTTCCCTCGATGGACTCGTTGGGCTGCGGAGATTAGAAAACTATTAATCGAAATACTTGTAATTTTATAAAATTTTTAAACATTTTTCCTTTATGAAAAAAGGGAAAATTAGGGATAAAATATGTATACAAAAAAATTATTTTTTAAACGGGAAAAGTCTTTAGTTGTTTTGGAAAATATTCAAAGATGCCTTAAGTCTTTTTTATAAATTTCACATAACTTTTGGCAGTCACTTTTTTTCTGTTTCCTATAAAATTTCAAACAAATATAACAATTCTAATGGAAAGCAAATATATTTTTAAAGGGAAAAGGTATTTTTTTAAATGGTTTTAGAAAATATTAATAATTAATAATATTAATTAGTTGACCTTTCTTTTTTTAAAAATTCTTTCAAAAATGTCTAAAATCTTTTTTTATAATTTTCATATAATATTCGGTATAACCGTTTTATTGTTGTTAAATACTATAAACATTTATAAATAATAATTCGAGTGGAATTTGGCTTTAATTCTTGGATAATACTCACTCCGTCCAGTATGTGGAAACCCGCTTCGCGCATTACTTCCTTAAACGGCTGGCTGGCGATGACGTAGATGAGGCCCTCGAGCTTAATGCCGCTCAGATAGGCTGCGATGGACTTGGCCGGATGCCAGATCTGCTCCGGCTGCACCTTCATCCCGATCTTGGCGAAGCGCTTGAGGCACTGCTCCTCCGCCAGCACGCTGTTGTTGGTCACATAGGTCAACTGTTTGCCCCTCCGCTCGAGGGCAGCGTATCCCTCGGCGGCCCGCGGCACCGGATCCTTCAGGGTCCACAGGACACCGTCTATGTCGCTGAACACCCGGTCGAAGGAGTCCACAAAGTTGCGCCGCTCATCCTCGCTCAGCTCTAGAATGTGTTTGACCTGAAAATAATAAATAAATTACTCATAAGTTAAATATGTAACAATAAAATAAAAATTATTATTATAATTCTGATTGAAATACACAAAAAAAGCTATCTTTTGTCTAAAATTCGATTTTTTTTTACCCTGAAAAATCGGAATTTTAGCCAAGAACAAAGGAAATAATGGTCCAAATTTGGAATGTCATACCTCGTTGAGCTCGTTATTAAATTCCCAATCGATTGGCATTCCAACCTGGAAATTTTTAATTTTTTCAATTTTTCGCAAAAAATGATGATGGTACCCCTTACCAAAAATGCGAAAATTCGGTCGAAAATTAATTTTCTCAAATCAGTCGGAAAGTGCACTGATATTAAATATACAGTTGTAAGCTGCACAAAACAGTCCGCCTTTTTGATATCGGACCATTCTTGTCCAAGTTACAGCAAAAACCCAGTTTTAAAAACATAAAATTTTTGTCCAAAATCGAGACCTTGATTTATCACCCCAAAAAACAGTATTTTGGCCATAACAATGGAAATAATGGCCCAAATATGGAATGTTATACATCGTTGAGCTCGTAATAAAATTCCCAATCGATTGGCATTCCAACCTGGAAATTTTTAATTTTTTCAATTTTTCGCAAAAAATGATGATGTTACCCCTTATCAAAAAAGTGAAAATTTATGAAAATTTTATTTTTTTTCAAAAGTGATGGGGATCGTTAGTTTAGGTCTTTAGCAGCTCAAAACAGTCGGTCTTTTGGCTGTCGGCCTCGATTTGGCCAAATTACGCTCGAAAAACACAAAAAAAGGCCAGTTTTATCCAAAATTCGAATACATTTTTTCACTCTAAAAAAAAGGTTTCAACAAATTTTAAATAATATTGAAAAATAAATTGCAGAATTCAAGAACTCAAACGATAGAAAGTATTTTCCAGATTATAAAGATATTTAATTTATAGAAATGTCTAATGTTTCTTGTGCAATTATTGGATGTACAAGTCTTGCGGTTCAGCTTTTATCGACTGCAATAAAAAGTGATATATACGCAATATGGACAGAAAAACTTTAAAACTGAGTGTTGTTAGCTGATATTGATTGATATTGAGATTGATGTACAGATTATCCTAAGCAACTTACCCCATTACCCTCCTCCATTGAAATCCGATGCGAAAGCTGTTATCGTGGGCACGGTTGTCGGCAAACTAACGTCGCCGAATGGCGACAGCTGAAATTAAAACGCAAATTGAAAGTGGAGCCGAGAAACTGAAACTATGGAACAGAGACTGAGTCTAAATTAGCACCTCAAAGCGAGGCGTCAAAGATCCCAGATAGAACAGTCGTCACAACAACGTTGAGAAAGCAAAACAAAAGCCGAAGAGAGAACGGTTTCCTACTTATCGGACTTATCAGTCCTCCCTTTCCATATCTTCATCACTTGGAGATTATCTATAAATAAATTAACTGTATAATCACTACATGGAAAAGCTCAAATCATGACTTCCGAATCTTGGAACATATATAAAACTTATATCATAATTCTGTAGCAAGGTATTTTAATAAAATAAAACTTAAACAATCCTTAATTAACATTTTTTAATTTAACACATATAAACATATTATTATTAAATTATAAATGCGGGAGTTTCAGCTTCCATTTAACATTTTAAACTCAAAGACTACATATTACCTTCTTATTACGTTTCTCCGTAATAGAAGTCGTTATTAACAATAAAATTGTGATTAAAAAAATACATAACATTGGCAATAACAAACAAAAAATCGCGACAGAAATCGTTGTCAAATGTTGGTTCAAAAAATACATAATATAGACAACTAGCGTTTCCTAATCCTAGTATCCGATTTTTGGAATCTAAACTTTCTGCAACGTCTCAAGGAACTGGATGATGAGCTCGGGGTACAAGTACTTGATGCACCGCAGAGGCACTGCGTCCATGGTGCCACATCCCTTCCAGGTGACGCAGAAAAAGAGCTGCTCGCGCACCTTGAAGCAGTTGTGAATCTTCTCCAGCTGCAGACAGCGTCCTATGCCGTAGGTTTTCGAGGTCTCCGGCATCTTCCAGCCGCGTTTCTTCTTTTTCACGTTCAGGTGAAGTCCCTCCTGACGGATGGTGCGCTCCAAGTCGGCGAGCAGCTCGTCTAGCCTTAGCTGAGTTTGTATCTGGGCTACGGTTAGCCAAGAATTGGATTCCTTCTTCTCCTCCTCGGTGGTTGTTCCAGATGCAGTGGTTTCTTCAAAACCCAATGAAGCTTCCTCTAGAAACTCCTGCTCCTGGGACGTTTTACTATTACAAATAGCTTGGATTGATGATGCCTCCTGTGAATCTTCTTCCGAGTGGGCCACCGAGCTAATGGACTCACCCACTGATTCGTCATCACTTAGATGCACCTGCTCCTGCTTCACTTGGGAGGAGGAGGAGGAAGACTCCTTGTCAAAGCCCAGGAACTCTTCCTGCTCAGCGTAGACCGGTGAATACTCCTTATTATTCATCATAACATAGGTAGGCACCAACTCCTCTTTCTGCCTGATCTTCGCCCGCTTCTTATTGGTGTTTTTCATGATCTTAATGAAGTCCTCCTCTTCGTAGTCCATCAGCGAGGCAATGCAGTTGTCCAACTCCTCCATGGGCTCCCAGGTGGACTGATCCATGGGATATCCCTTCCATTTCACCAGAAATTGCTTGCGACCGCGCAAGTAGCTGTGGGCCAAGAGCTTCTCCACCTCGTACTCGACATCCTGATCATCGATGGGCTCGTGCTCGGCTGCGGAGACACCCTTCAATGAGGTTTTAGACATAACTATAGTTTTTTTTAGACGTAGCACATAAAAAATTAGAGAAAAATTAGAGACGCATGGCGTCACGCGGTAAAAAAACAAAGGTAAAAACGGCGTCAAGCTCAGGATGCGGGCTGCCAACTCGCTGTTATATGCAGGTAACTGTAAACGAGGGCTGGCTAACCAGATTCCACCGTTTTGTCGTCCGTATATTAAATTTATGGTAAGCATTAAGCTCTTTAAACTTAAATTTAACCAGCGACCGGTAAAAGCAACGCTTTAAATGTCCAATTCAATGCTCATTAAAAACTTTAAATTTTATACCATTTTTAAAAAAAAGGCAGTAAGTAAAAACCTAACATATTGTGTATATTCGATGTAATAAAATTAGTAAACGTAACTGTTTTGAATTTCATTTAAAAAATCATATTTTACCAGTTAGTTCCTGATTTGTTAAGTAAAACTCTGAGTATAACTGTTATTTTTTTAGTTTTATAATAAAAGTTAAAAAATAAAAGTTATTCCTTGTGATCAAAAATAAATCTCAAACTTGATTTATGGCAATTTTGTGAACCAAATATATTTAAAGAAAATATAGTTATACCAAATTCGCGAATGGCTTTTTTATAAGATTTTCAGTAAGTTATATAAAACACGGCATTAAGTTTAAACAACATATGTATGCTAAAAATAATCGGACGTCATAATTAATACAAAGAAAAACTATAGATAGCCTTAAGATTAATGCGCTTTTGCAAATGGATTCGATTACACTGGAATACCCCTAATTGCAGTTAATTGAAGCGCGTTGGCAGCGCCGAAGCTCGCCGCCATGTTTTCCTCCATTCTCATTTTCCGCGCGTCGCTTTGGGTGCCACTCTTTTTTCTTTTTTTTTTGTGTCGAAAAGAAAACATGTCTAGTGGACAGCCGGAAAAGCCCTGTGACTCCGCAGCCGCCGAAGCATCCGCAACCAGCGCACCGGACTGCAATGTGTATGTGGTGGAGAAGATCGTGGGCAAGCGCCTGAAGGGCGGGCGTCTTCAGTACCTGGTGAAGTGGCTGGGCTTCTCGGACGAGGAGAACACCTGGGAGCCGCTGGAGGGAGTGATCCACTGCTGCGATCTGCTGGCCGACTTCGAGGCAGAGCTCTTGCGGCGCAGCCAGGGGCAGAACGCCGGTGGCGATCAGGAGCAGAAGCAGCCGCAGGGGGCAACCAAGAAGACCCGGAAATCCACCAAGAAGCCAAAGCGCAGGCATTCATCGAGTGTTTCTCGGGAAATGGAGCAGCCCGAGGCGGAAGTCCAGGCTGTGATCAATCCTCCTGTTAAGGGCAAGGGCAAGGGCAATCCAAAGGCTCCGATACCCCGACGTCACTCATGCTCTCATCTGGAGAGCAACGCAGACCCGGTTGACTTGGAAATGCAGCGCATCCACAGCTCACCGGTGGACATGATGCCGCCGCAGGTCGGTGGCCACGAGGATACGCCATCCAAAGACGATCTCCCGAGTTCCGGGGAGGAGTCGATCGCCTCGGAGGACGGTCCAGATAGCTGGAAAATGCCGGAACGCACGAAACCCTTCGGGTTGGAGCGCGGTCTCGAACTGGAGAAGGTGCATCACTGCTTTAAAGTTCGCGATAAAACCTTCTTGTTCGTCTCCTGGAAGGGCTGCGACGAGGTGGACGCCGTGCGCCTGGAGGAGATCAGGCAGGCATACCCCATCCCAATCATAAAGTTCTTTGAGGGCTTGAAACTTTCTGATCACTAAGGATGCCTGGAAATTCTTGTCTTGCATAATAGGCTGAACAAATATAATTTTTTTTCATTTTTTTTTTAAATTTTCATACAAGATAATTATTATTAAAAAAGAAAAAGGTCATTTAAAAATCGTACTTTTTAAAAAAGTAAAAGAGAAACAAGTCATTTAACAACAAAAATTATTAAAAATTTAAATTAATCATTATTTTCTAGTTTCTAGAGTTAATCTAATAAAAGCTTTATACTTTGAGTGACGAGATCTTATGATATTATATAATTAATTATAATAATTATTACAAAACCCAAAGAAATATATACAAATAGTCATAGTCACTAGTTTCCCGCTTAAGACTTAATATAATAAAAGCTTTTTTACCTCGAGTGACCAGATCTTATGTGTTATAACAAGTCCCCTAAGCTAAGCTCCCGAGCTATCTTCAAAAAGTTAGTTATACATATGTATTTTTTTGGCGCCTTTAGCGCAGCCTCACTGCATGTAAACACACAAGTACTTAGTTATAATACGAACCTAAGGCACGTTAGCTAATGAAAACAAAACAAGAATCTCGCAATTCATTCAAGCTGCTTAAGCTGCTGGCGAAAATAAACAATGCAAATAAGCCAAGTTCAATGAGCCAGGGCAAAGTGAATTAAGAACCGAGAGAACCGGTTGTTTTTGCCTTTATTGCACTCACTTTGATTCTGGCTACTATCAAAAAAGCCCAAAAACGGTGTGTCACAAGTGTCAAAAGCCATCTGGACAGATAATACGAGATTCGAACAAAAGCCAGCGTTTGTTTTCATAATAATTAAATTTTTTTCGGAGGGGCACAGAGAAAGAACGCGTGCCTGTACAGAAACAAATATGATTTCAAAACGATGATCCGACACTGATCAAAAAAGTCTTGACAGAAAATTAAAGAACAAAATTTTTGTATTACTATTTAATGTACTTAAAAGATTATTCAATGATAAATCATAGTTGTAAAGTTTTAAAAATATATACTAAATGTCACCTTGAAATGTTAAAAATCCTTTTAACATTATACAAATTTTTTTTATACAAAAAACTCACTATGTAATAATGACAAACCATTTTAAAATGGTTATAAATTATATTATTTTACAAATATTTACTAAATGTCATCTTGAAATATTACAAACCTTTTTTATTTTAAATATCATTCACTGATAAATTTTATTTATAATTATATTTCTGAAAAACACCCACAATGTATTATTGACAGACCATTTTGAAATGGAAATAAATGTAATATTTTTTTTTAAATACTAAATAAATCTTGTATTATCTATAATGATTCCGGAACTGATCAAAATAGGTTCTCTCAGTGTCTCTCTGGCTTTCGACTAATTGCCTCTTGGAAGTTGGAAGTTGCCCGGCTGGTTTCTGCTCTCCGATCTGCGATCTGCGATCGCCAATCCAATACAATCGCTGACCCCCACTGCAGTCCGCATCGTGCGCTGATCAAGAACGGAAGATGAGTAGTCGGAGTCCCATTTCCACATCCACCTGCGTGTGCCTGCAGCTCCTGGTGCTGCTTCCGCTGCTGGCAGGTGAGAGAAATTCTAGAAAATCTAGATTCAAGAAAATCATGTACAAGAAAACAGATAGTCGCGTTGTTTCGATTGAAATTATATGTTTTTTAACGGACTTTCTAACTTTTAGATTAATATAAAATGTTTATTACTTCAGCAATAATGTAAAATTAAAAAATATTCTTAAATTTCATGTTTTTTTTAAAGCAAATATCCAAAAATCTTGCATATTATAGAAATTAGTTTTTAAAAAATATATTTTAAATATAATAGGTAATCATAATTATCTATGTCAGGATTTTCCCACTTTTTGGGGAGTTTTTCGTAGATCGTAGTGACTCACTTAAATTTCACATCTAATGGTACTTTTTCCACCACAGTTGAGGCAACACCGGCCATAAGTCCGCAGTCGCAGCGCGGCATCATCTTTCCCAAGGATTCCTTCGATGAGTGCTACCTGGACGAGTTCCGTAGGACGAAGGGCAGTTGCCGGCGCATGGAGGACTGTCCCAGCGCTTTAAAGGGATGGCTAGATAGACGCGAATCGCCCAAGACCTGCTACTTTGTGCGATTCGATCACTTTGTGTGCTGCAAGCCAGAGGATCCGATTGCCACCGAGGTGCCGCCCACGCTGCCACCCACCCGCAATCCCTTCGTAGCACCACTGGTCGTACGATCCAGTCTGCAGGGTGAGAAAATCTTTGAAAATAATTATAACAATATAGCGAGCAAACAATTAATATCAATTAGGTTCTAAATAGTCATGACAAAATATAAATAAACCAAAACATTGAATTACATTGAGCATTATACTACCTATATAATATCAATTAGGTTTTAAATAGCCATGGTTCAATTTGATATATATCGTTTTCTATCCTAAAATAATATAATATTAATTTTTGGTATAAACCAAAATATTGAAGTACTTTAATTTATTTTTTAAATTATGAAATTACATCTAGTTCTCCATTTTTAAAAATATTACCATGATAAAAAATAATTTTGTTGGAAGAAAAAACAAACAAATTAAGAATCCACTCCAGATATATTAGTCTTAAACAGGTTTTGCAATATTTTATGTCTGACTTTCTGACGTGATGTAATCCATGACTAACGAGGGTTTCCCCTTTCATATTCCACATTCGCAGCCTGCTACGACTTGAACAATGTCAAGAAGATCAACGAGAACGACTTGACCTTCGTGGTCTCGGTTGTGGGCGGCATGCCCACCCGTCCGCGGGAATTCCCCTTCATGGCGGCGCTCGGCTGGCGCTCCAACTTCGATCAGCGGATATATTATCGATGCGGCGGCGCCCTGATCGCCAACAACTTTGTTCTGACGGCGGCCCACTGTGCCGACTTGGGCGGGTAAGTTTGGGGGCCCTCTTAATTCTTAATGTGGGAACTGATAGCAAATCTTGTTATGTCACTATGTTTGGGTTTTTTTCTTTGGGTTCCCAAGGCTTCAGTGATATTTTCGTTAGATTAAAAAGCTAGAACTACAAAAGTTGTCAGAGTTGTCTTATAGTTAGAGCTTTAAAGTAACAGAGGGTTTTTTATAGAGATATAACAGCAGAAGGCCTTAAGCTCGCTTAAAATAGGTTTATTTTAATTATTACTATTAATTTTATTATATTTTACAGTTTTTTATGTCTAATAAGGTATTTAGAAACTATTTGGAATTTTACATTTACATTTATTATTATCTTTTTTTTTAGTTTAAAGGTTAATTGGTAATTATTATTATTCTATTTATTTTTGTACAGTTTTTTATGTCTATTTGGTATTTCGGAACTATTTGGAATTTATTTCATTACATTATTATATTTTTTACATTTTTTATATCTCATTCATTATTTTGGAATTATTTAGATAGAAGAGAGTTTTCTGGGTACTGATTTTAGTAGGATTTGATAAAAGGTGGATAGGTTAAGGGAGCTCTATTTTTCACAGCCTTGATTACAATTGAATACTATTTTTTATGAAATCCGAATTATAACTTGTCTTTCTCTTCCAGTGAGCCGCCCAGCCAGGTTCGCCTCGGTGGCGACAATCTGACCCTGGCCGAGGGCGAGGATCTGCTCATCCGCCGGGTGATCGTCCATCCGGAATACGATGCCACCACCGCCTACAACGACATTGCGCTGCTGGAGCTGGAAACGGCGGCCAAGCCGGAACTGAAGCCCACCTGCATTTGGGCCGAAAAGGAGGTGGCCAACTCGCTGGTCACGGCCATTGGCTATGGCCAGACCAGCTTCGCCGGCCTCTCGTCCGCCCAGCTGCTGAAGGTGCCGCTAAAGAGCGTGAGCAACGAGGAGTGCCAGGTGCACTACCAGGTGGATCAGCTGGCCGAGGGACTGAAGGGCACGCAGATGTGTGCCGGCGATATAAGCGGCGAGCGGGATACGTGCCAGGGCGATTCCGGCGGACCGCTGCTCATGCAGGACGGACCACTGGGCTATGTGGTGGGCATCACGTCGCTGGGACAGGGATGCGCCAGTGGGCCGCCGTCGGTGTACACCAGGGTCTCCAGTTTCGTCGACTGGATCGAAGGCATTGTGTGGCCGCCGCAGCAGGAGGCGGTTTCCTCGAAGCCCATCGAGGCTACTGGTCCCGATTTCGATCTAAGAGCGATGATCTGAGCATCTGAGATTTTATTTTCGATAGAAGAAAAGCTTTGTGAATATACAAAACTTGGGCTTAACAGAAGGACATTTAAGGATGCAAGCTGGTAATTGTATTTTTTAGAAGAAGACATTATTTGTTTTATAAAATGTCTACTATAACAAATGAATTGAATTGAATTGAATTTTACATAAAAATTTAGGTAAACCAATTTTCTACTCTACAACAAACATTTTCTTTGCATTTTTTAGCAACCACATAAAGAAAATTTAGGGTAATCCAATTTTAAATATTTAGAAAAATATCTTCTTATAATGCTTTTATGTCTTAAAAAATGTTAAGTTAAAACAAAATTAAATCAATAGTTAGGAAAACATTTTTCCGCTGTTACCTATCTAATAATATCGATTTAAATAAACAAATATTTATAGAAAATATTTATACCAACTGACGGAACTGCGTACACTTGTCATTACTGGGTGTTCACTTTCAGTGGATCGCATTTCTTAAACAGAACTATGCGGCTGATTCAGCTGCTATCCATATCCATGGGACACAAACAGCTGGAGTTATTGGCTATATAAGTGTCCAGAACTACGGACGCCGGATAGTTGGGCCTTGAACACCAGCCAATGAAGATGTACCGCACAACAACGCTCCTGCTGATCCTGGGAAGTGCCTGGCGTTCGTCCTTTGCCTATCTGCCCGATGTGAACATTTTTACCAACTACCGCACCGAAGTCTATAATGGTAAACCTTCTAATAACTATCATTATTAATTTTTTTAATATTATATAATTTACTTAAACTCTAGGCATTCCCTCGGAGATTGACACGACGCCATTTGTGCGGATCGGGGACAACTACTACTATATCGAGCCGATGAACAAGGTCAACTGGTTCCAGGCGGCCGGCGCCTGTCGCATGATGAACGCCCACTTGGCCTCCATCGAGGACAAGCCGGAAATGGAGGCGCTGATCAAGTACATGAAGGCCAAGGGTTTCAAGAACAACGACTACTTTTGGATATCGGGCAACGACCTGGGCACCGAGGGCGCCTTCTACTGGATGTCCAACGGCCGGCCGATGACCTATGCCCCCTGGAACGGGCCGAAGCAAATGCCGGACAACTACGGCGGCAACGAGAACTGTGTCCATATGTTCGCCACCCGGGAGATGATCAACGATGCCAACTGCAAGATCCAGATGCTCTACGTCTGCGAGGCGACGGAGCCCAAAACTTTCAAGTTTACCTACATAAAGTGGTAGTTCTGTATTCGCTTGCTAGGCTTGAGCTAAATAAAGGGTAGTTAATTAATGGGTCCCTCTTTAAGAAACATATTTGTTTATAGAGGTTGGTGGGGCAAAACGGGCCTATGATTTTAGAATAGTTTTGTCTTTTTTAACCCGTTAATTGTAGAGTAAAATTTTAAAAAGTTATGAACACAAATTGAAACAGCCGCCTACATATCCCCCTTTAACTGAGTAAAGGGTATCTGATAGTCGAGCGTACTCTCTTGTTTATTCTGTAGCTAACAAAGTATTGCATACTTTTTGGGGCAACTCGAGATTTTTAAAAACTGCAAAGAAATTAATATAATATTCGATAGAACCATTGAACACTCGAGAGTTTTAGTTTTTGCCGGCTTTTATTTGTCGCATCGTTTTGCTTATCGCTTCCGTTTTCTCTTTTCGCTAATTATACAATCAGTTAGATTTACGATTTTTGCATACTAAATTGTTACGATTCCGATTCTTACACAGCTATTGAACTCTATCATATACATGTATCGATCGATTCATTTGATTCACTTGAATTGAATTTAGTTGCGTTAAATGTAGTTAATTAAATTTAATTTAATTTATTAATACCCTCTAATATCGCGACGACAAAAAAATGTTTTTTTTCGAGTATATGCTTGTGTATATATAACAACAACGGCACACAGGACATATGCGTATTATGGAAGGAAGGAAGAGCAAATGCGAATAGAATAATTAGAATGGTGTTTGGGATTGGGGATTGGATTGGATCTGTTTGGTTTGGATGGGAATCATAAAATCGAAACGATAGCCCAAAACGAAAACCGAGGGACAATGGATAAGGGGAAAAGGACGAGACGCATGGAATCCAGTAAAGAAATGAGTTAGTTTTACAGTTAGTTCTTCGGCTTACTTGCTAGGCTAAGCGAACAGTGATCGATATTGAAAAATCTACGACATAACCTCAACATTCATAGCGATTATGCGTGAGTTGTGTTGTGGCTGTGATGTATTTCTTCTTGTGTGTGTGTGTGGGAGTGCTTACATATGCTCTGGTACACAGTTATGTAGTCTAAGTAGTTTTCGATTTACGATTTACGATTTACGAGTCTTACGTGGCTAAATCGCTAATTCTAAACATTTGTTTGTCCACATTAATCCACAAGTTATGCATATAAATATTGTATATTTATCAATTAGTTAATATTAGTAACTACATACATATAATTCATATAAATATTCAACAGACGAGTGCATAAATTTAATAATTCTTATACGATTACTCCCTCTCTCGCTCTATCGCTATCTCATTCTCACTTACGGCTCCTTGCCTTCTCTTCACGATTTTTTCAAATTTCTATGCTATCTTTACCGTTATGTGTCCCTCTCTGTTTGGGCTGGGTGTCTGTGTGAGTGCTTATGCGCCTGTGTGTGTATGTTTGTGATGTGGGTGAGCGAGAAAGTGTGTGTAAGGTGGGCTTCATAGCTCAGCTGCAAGCTTGTAGGAGTCATCGTGCGAAAGGGAGAGAGCACCTTCGGCCTTTGCCAACACTGGACATAGCTTTATTCACACAAGGCAACATAAAAAAAAGATATTGTACCGAACTTCATGTTTTCCAAACCATTGAGGTTCCTAAATGACTTTAAGAAACGCGTTTTTCAATGAATAACTTAAATTATTTAGAACACTTTTGCTTAGTATATTGATCGATTCGTCAACGAAATTCATCTTCATTAAGGTTTTCAACCTCTTTCGATATTTCAACTCTTAGCTCATTATTCGAAAACAAGCCTTTTTACAACCATGTTTAGAAAGGAATTTAAAAAAAAGCGAAAGTGAAAACTATTTTTTAATATTAAAATTAATTAATAGGAGAATTAACAAATTCTGTTTACATCTGGTTTACACGATACAAAAAACAAAAAAAAACACAATCACACCCAACAAAAGTAATCAATATTAAAATATTGCAACATGTTTTGATATATACATTTTAAAGACGTCTCCTTTTTTTTTTGTCATTTACGATCTCATATGAATCGGAAAAGGAAGTGGTACTCTCAAATGAACATTAAAAAATTTTGCTGCCTAGCATTACAGATCCGAAATTGATCTCTATACTCCAGACTCGCGTACAAAACGATTGACAAACATATTCGTAGACTATTTAAGTGATTTTACAATTAGTTCGGTTTTTGCTTTAGCTTTTGCTTTTGTTTCTTGTTTGGTATTATTTTTGTTTTGCTTTCTTTGTTTTCTCTTACAAATGGAAAGAAGAACAGCCTAAAATGTTATACATGTACAAAGTCTAAATGTTCTTTTCTACTCTTTTTTTTCTGCTAGCTCCTTTTCGACGTGTTTTTTAAAAACCTTTCTCAAAATGGCAGTGCGTTTAGAGGGGGCGGGAGCGGGTGGGGGTGTCACAGTGGGCGGGGCGGGGGGCGGTAACTAAGTATTTACAGAGCTTTGTGAACTATACAAAACAAATGGCAGGAATCTATGCGAAATGCACAACATTGCATAATCATAATAATCAACTAAACGTACAGTAAGTTTAAACAAAAGATGCGTTTCTTGTTGTTGTAGGTTTTTGTTTTTTTTTTGTCGTTTTTGTGTTGGTTTTTTTTTGTTTGTTTCTGCTTAAAAGTAGAGTTGCTTTTTAGGTCTGAGCAATGTGTTTAATTACAATTTTAGTTGGCTCGTTATCCTCTGAGCTTAGTTATAAAAACTAATAATAAGCATCGTAATCAAAATAGTAATAATGGTAAGCATAATCATAATCATAAAAACATATACATTTCAGGCATAAAATTAACTTGAAGTAAAATAGAAGAAGTTTATGAGTAGGTTAGGTTACGAGGAAGATGGTAGGAAAAATGGGATTTTTAGCTTTTCGTATATATATGTTACTTTTTTTTTTTACAATTTGCGCGCAAATTCACTTAGTAATATTAGCGTAAGAATTGCGCGCAGTATTTTCGTTTTTTGTTTTTTTTTTTAGGGAGTGCGGGTTGGATTTTTAGTTTACAAAACATTTGCTTGAAACGTAGAGCCTTTAGGGAAACTACATTGGATGCGGGGGGGTTGGAGCTCTAGAGAGATTTAGAAACATATGTTTGCGGACCTTAAATATGTTAGCAGCTAATTTCATACTTCAGTTTATCGCTCTTTTAAACCATTACAATCTAATTATGAGTTTACATTTATATTTATACCGTTTTTATCTAATATATATCTATATATATATTTTTTTTTTTGCTTTCTTGTTTTTTTTGTTGTTGTTTGCTTTCATGTTTATTTTAGAAACAAAATGAAATACATTTAGCGAAATCAGAGGCAAAGTTCCTAATATTAAGCTTAATAGGTTTCCTTCGCTCTTCTAATTTAAGCGAGACAGCAATGTAAAATAAAGTCTAAACATTAGTTTGTTGTGGGATTTGGAGGAGGTGAAGGCAGGAAGTGAGGAGCAGGAGCAGGAATATTAATTAGAAAAATGCAGCATAGTTTGCAGTTAACCTGAGAAAGAAATATAATCCATAAATATTGCTAACTCGTAACTATCTCTTTCTCTCTCTCATTCACAATCTCTTCCTGTAGCCTAGATCCTAGATCCTACATCCTACATCCTACAGCCTAATCCTATCGCTCATCCCGCTCGTTCTGCTGCTGATCCTGACCGGATCGCGAGGAGCTGCTGCTGCTGCTGGCAATGGATGATTCTGAGGATATGGAAATGATTGATATAGCCGACGACGAGTTCACCAGCGTCCCTCGCAGCGGCGGCAGTCGATTGTTGTTGCTGTTGCTCCCGCTGGTGCTGCTACTGTTGCTGCTGTTGCTGCTGCTGTTCGATGCACTGATGGTGGGCGATCCACCTACCGATTTCTGGTAGCGATTGCCGCCCAGTCGCAAATGCTGCGGTCGCTGCTGGTGATGCTGCTGCTGTTGCTGGTGGTGATGTTGCTGCTGCTGCTGCCGGTGACTATGGTTGCTATGGCTGTGATGGTGCTGCTGGTGATAGTTGGAGGAGGAGGAGTTTGAATTGGACTTGCTCAGCTGCTGCTGCTGCTGCTGTTGCATCGGCGGTGGCACGTAGTACTGCTGGTGGTAGTAGCCACTGGAATTGTGGTTGCCGCGCTGATTGTAGTTGCGTCCAGAGCCTCCTCCAGTGGAGGAGGAGGAGGCACTACTAACTCCGGAAGTCTCTTGGTGGTGATGTTGCTGATGATGCTGCTGCTGTTGCTGCTGCTGCTGCTGATCTGGTTCCATCTCTGGGTCCACCATCTCCTGCGTTGCGGCGGCGTTGTTTTCCGGCTGTTTTGGTGGTGAAGAGGTTATACATGTGTTCTTGTTTCTACTGCTGCTGCTGTTCATGCTTCTCGTCATGCTGGCTGCAGTTGCCGTTCCCAAGGTCTTTGGATGATGCAGAAATTTTGTTTGTGCTTGTTTCGGGTTCGGTTTCGGTTTCGGTTTCAAATACAACCGGGGGGACTCAACTGCGGCCAGCATGGGAGCATAGCCGACCACCTGATGCCTGGGCATTAGGCAGCCGGCCACCACCAGTCATCATGTGTCAAGGCGGGGGATTGTGTGCATTACCGACGAGGATGAGCTGCTGTTGATGTTTCCATTGCCACCGGCACTCCAATTGCTCGGCTGCACCGGCATGGAGGAGCCGAGGCCATTCGGCGGCGACAGCGTGATATCGATGACCTCCTGTCCGCCCGTCAACGTCGTCGTCTCGACCACATCGCAGTCTTTGCTGTCCTCGGAATCATCGCCAGAGGAGGTGCTGCCACGTCTGTGACGCGACTGCGATTGGTTCTGCTGCGACTGCTGCGACTGCGCATGGGAATGGGCATTCGTGGCATTCTGTTGCTGCTGCTGAAGCTGTTGCTGCAGCTGCTGCTGCTGTTGGACTCCTCCGCCGGCTGAGATGGCCACTCCGCCAACCAACGCCACCGTCGTCGACGACGTCGTCGTTGTCGCCCCAGATGCAGCAGCTGTTCCGGTGACAAACGGCTGGCCAAGCGGATGCAAATGGCCGTGATGGCTATGGCTATGCCCTCCGTGGGCTGTGGTTTGCACCTGCACCTGCTGCGGATGGTGGTACAGCTGCTGGACAACGGCGCCCGAGGGCATGATCACATATTTGGGCGCCCCATTCGAGGCGGCGTACGCAGCGGGTGCGGTGGGCAGCGGCGAGATGCGGTCCACCACCACCAGATGCTCGAAGTTCTCGCGGATCCATTCGCGGTAGTCGATTACGTCGTCGGTGATGTGGATGATTCGACCTGTGGGAACAAAGAAAACCATTACAAATCGAGAGCTATAATACAGTTGTTATCAGCAGAAAATGTTTTAAGCGTAGCTTAGCAACTTTTTTCAAGTCACCTTAAGTATGAAATTCTTTGTTTCTAGTTTATAAAAATACTACAGTAGTTGTATTCAATATTATTTGCTTGTAATGTTGAATAAACAGAAACTTTAGTTGAAAAGTTCTTCAAACAGAAACGCAATAAATAAAAAAATAAAATGGGAAATGAAAAACAAATATAACAGAGCAATTTAAAAGTAAATTAAAAGTATATCTTTTAGATAATTGTTATTTACCAATCAATTTATCTTTAAATGTGACGTAAAATCAACTAAATTTCTTTTAAATTTTTTAACGAAAACTACAATTTTCAACCAAAATCAAATAATTTAATATAAATTGTATATAAATTATGTCAATATTAAAAACTGATTGGCAAAGGTTTAAACACACATTTCAGAGGCCATATAACAATAAAACCCTAATTCTGCACTCATAACATTCAATAAGTTTAATCATACAAAGTTTCATAACGAAAACTACAATTTTTAACCAAAATAAAGTACTTAAATATTGAAAAGATGGTATAAATACATTGTGTGAATATTGAAAACAGATTGGGAAAGGTTTAACAAATATTTAAAAGGCTATATAACAATAAAACCCTAATTTCACACTCATAACATTCCAATTAATCTCCAATTTCGAGTCACCATCACTCACCCAGTATGGAATTGACCCGTGGATCGATGCCGAGGAGGTTGAGCGGACTAACGGCGAGGGCGAGGACGCGGTAGGCGCACTTGAAGGCCTGCTGCACCTGAAAGACCCCGTAGCTGCTGCGTCCGATATCGTTGCCCGGCGTCAGCGGATCCTCGATGCAGAGAAGCGATGGCCGATGGCCGTCGACCATGTCGCGCTGCAGCTCATCCTTGGGCATATACCGTCCGCCGTTCTTGATCGAGATCCCAATCTTCATGTAGTTGAAACGACGGCCGTAAAGCTCAAAGAACTCGAGGAGCAGCACACCCAGATTGGCGGTATCGTGGTAAATGCCACGCGGATGCATCTGCAGGAAGCTGATGCACATGAGGATCAGCGAGTAGGACGAGATGCCGCCGGTGAACACCTCGTTGAGATCGCGCAGCAGCAGGAACTGCTTGAGCACCAGCACCAGCTTCCCCAGCACCGGATAGTCGCGCTTGAACTTCTTAATTAGCTCCGCCGACTGAACGCCGCTCTGCATGTTGAACGATATGTCTACCTTCACTTGCGTCTCCCTATCCGTCAGCTTGATGATGGGCACGGATGCCTTGTCCAGGACACGAACTGTGCAGGCCTCGGCGATGCCGCGGCTCACTAGCTCGAATTCCAGCGTGCGCAGCGGCAGTTTCTCCCACAAACCTAAAAAGGGAAAAGAGTATTAGTATGGTATTCCAAATGGTTTTTATACCCTTGCAGAGGGTATTATGATTTCAGTCAGTTAGATCTATCCATGTCCGTATGTCCGTTCGTCTGTCCGTCTGTTTCTACGCAAACTAGTCTCCCAGTTTTGAAGCTATCGGGTTGAAACTTTCCTAAAAGTCTTCATTCTATTGCAGGTAGTACTTAAGTCGGAACCAGCCGGATCGGACAACTATATCCTATAGCTCCCATTGGAAAAATCGGAAAAATTATGGAAAAAAAATCTAGCTTCGGTTTTTTTTTTTTTTAATATTACCTTCTAATTTTGGGAACAATGTTTTTTATATATTTCTGAATTTGGGATAGAATTTTTAAAAAAATCGTACGTTTATATCATATAGCTGCCATAGGAACGATCGGAAAATTAATGTTCCCATTAAAAATAAATAAATAAATAATAGGAAATAAATGATAGCTTCTTTGGTTTCTATTGTATTCTCTCCTACTCTGGGATTTGACTTTTTTTTAATATTTCCGAATTTCAATTTGAATTTTATCAAAATCAGAGGACTATATCATATATCTGCCATAGAAAGGTCAGAAAAAATAATGTCAAAATAATAGGAAATGATACATTTTTGCTTAGTTTGATTTGTAAATTAATAGGAATGATCTGCAAGGTTATCTTTTCTTGTTTAAGGTCAGTTTTTCAGTGTTTTCAGTTACCTAGCACAACGAGATCAATGTCGGAGGTGGGCAAAAAGAGGCCGGTGCGAAAGGAACCAAAGATCTCGACCACCGCCTGTGGCCAGATGGAATGGACAACGGCCTCGATGCGCTTGACCACCTCGTTCCGAATGGCATGTTCGCAGGGCGTGGGCAGGACATACTGATAGAAGTGCTCGATCTCCTCGTGCAGCCCAATAACGCCCTCGCCATACGGATAGTCTGGCTTGCGCCACGGTTCACCCTTGTATTTGGCTATCATCTCCATGTGGTTGTTCATATAGTAATGCCCACCGCCGCCTGCTTTGTTCTCGGGCCGTTTCTTCCGCGACGGATTGTAGTAGATGCTGTTGTTCGTGCGACTGGCGGCGGGCGTGGTTGTTGTCGTTGTCGTTGTCTGTGGCGGGTTGTTGCTAGTGTCACTCATGCTGTTGCTGCTGCTGCTGTTGCTAGTGGCTGGTGGCCCAGTCGTTGTGGTGGCAGCAGCTGTGTTGGCCGGACTATTGGATCCGCTTCCTCCTCCTCCTCCTGATCCTCCTGCTGTTCCGGGTCCGTTGGTTGAACTGCTGTTGGTGGGTGAGCTGTTATCCCGATTTGTGGTGGAATCAGCCGCTGAACTGTTCCGCTGAGTGGTTCCGTTCTCTACAGAATCGCCGCGGAAATTCAGCAATCGATTTAGCGAGCTGTTGGGTCGCGATAAATAGGGCTTGCCCGTTAAATTGTTACCAATATTATTGGTAGTAGAATTGTTGTTGTTGTTGCTACTGCTATTATTGTTGCTGCTGCTGCTGCTGCCGTTGGTCGTCGTCGCCTGCTGTAGCTGTTGATCAAGCAATGCGCCCATCTCCTGGGCATTCGTCTCCCAAATCTTTAACCATGTGCGCAGCGATGGTCCCTCCTGTTCCTTCTGAAACCAGCCAACAAATGGATCCATTCAAGACGCTTTCACACGGCTGTTGGCTGGGCGGGAAACGAGAGGGGCGCGTCCTCCTTCGCTTCGTCCTTCCTTCGTCTCTCTTCCCCCTTGCGTCCTGCGTTTATTATAATATGATATATTATATAGATGTTTCTCTATATGGATCGGTAGAGATCTGTGGGCTGTGTGTTCCACAGGGGAATGGAGTTATCGTCTTGGGCCTTCAACTCTTTCAGTTTTTCAGCATTCAAGAGCTACGGGAAAGGTTGAAAAAAATAAATTTTAATTAGTTTTCTTTTGTTAAATGGGTTTTTTTTAGCCTGGAGAACCGACACCGACGTCTGTCGACTTTCAATTGATTTTCCTTTGATAGAACCCTTAAAAATTATAACTTTTCAACGGGCAACTCTGGTCATTGACATTCCTATAGTCCAGTATTTAATCACTTTCGATATTGATTTTTATAGTTTCCAGTATGTTCTGAACAATCCGGATTTAGGGTTGCCATCGCATCAGAGTTGCCAAAAATAATTATTGGTTGTCATAATTCTTTTTTTATGTTACTGTTAATATCAGTTTATATTTTATTAATTATTAAGGGTTTAGGGTTGCCATTGCATCAGAGTTGCCAAGCATAATTATTGATTGTCATAATTCTTTTTTGTATGTTACTTCTTATATCAGTTTATTTTGTAAAAATTTTTTAATTTCAAGGAATTTAACACTTATTTCTTATAAACTTATGCATTTTAAAGGCTTTGATTCATAATAATTTCAGTACTAAGCTATTGAAACCAAAGTCATAGCAATTTTCCAAGTACTATGCTAGAAAAAACCGTTTTATATATTTTAAAGAGGTATTAGGACACTATTTATGTAAACTTTAACGAAATATGAATTTTTTTTTATCTTCTCGAAGATGAAATGCCCTTTTTTCCTTAATTGGCATACTAATTTTAAGACTAAGCTATTAAAAACATCTAGGAGAAAATAAAAGACATTGTAATTTTGGAAGTACTATGGTAGAAAAAGAAGTTTTACATAGTTTTAAGACAATATTAAGTCTCTATTTATGTGATCTTAATCGAAATATTAATTTTTTATTTATAAGAAATGTTCTCGAAGATGAAATAGCCTATTTCCTTTAATGTAATTTAATAAAACTTGAAAGATTTAAGCATTTTGGGTTCTACCTTATATAGAAATTTGATTAATTCCAATTTGGGCTATGCGAACTTTGGTAATTCCCAGGAAAGATCAATAAAAACACGGCATTGTATGCTTGTAATTGGATAAATCACTTGAATGGCAACCGAATGATACCGATACCAGACTACCGATATCGATATATAGGTTAAACGGGGGGAGATAAATAAACAAAGGAAAGTGGGGAGAAAGAAGAGAGGGAAATGGAAATAACAATAAATAGTAACGGTAGTAGTAGTTGTTGTTGTTTTTGGCCTGCCACTCTCCAAAAAGGCGTTTGCATGCATTTCGCTCGAATGGAAAGCTTAAATGGCAGGCAAACTATTGCAAATTATGCGCTCTTTTCTACAAATAGAAATGCCCCCCGCTCTCCCTCTCTCCTTTTTGCAACCAATTGCAGCTGAAGCGTTTAAAGGCGCCAGGCGAAAATTGTTTTTCAGAGCGCAAAAAAAATCACACACACACACACACTGGCAAGAAAAGAAAAACCAAAATGGGCCACAACAAAAAGGTTTTTCACATATGAAAAGCAAATAAAAAAAATAGAAAAAAACCGCTCACGAGACTCCGAGGCCCGCAAATAAATGACTTCCAAAGTGATATTATATCTCGCACCAATACCACGAAGGCAAGGGCGTACAGGTGGCCGTAGTATGGGGGTGGCAGTGGGAGCGGGACAGCAGCACACATGCACATGTACCGAAAGGCGGCTTCGATTATGCAAAAAAAAAAAAAAAGAAAAAAATAGGTAAGAAAAGAAAACCGAAAAAATAAAATGACAATAAAATAGAGCCAGGGAAAAGCAATGCCAAAGCACCGCCGAACGCACACAGCCACAAACTACATGTATTTTACCCGATCCGATTTTCATTTGTTGGCTGAATTTTCCTTAAGAATTAAGTTGCATTTGGCAGAGGAAAACTCCCGCACACACACACACACACACACATACAGAAGCGGGCCAGCGCACATGTACTTGTACATTTTAGGCAAATTAACAACACTTTTCTGGTCAGTGTTGGCTAACGGCCCAAGGTGGCCGACCGAGCGAGAGGGAGAGGGCGCGAGGTGATGATCAGAATAGGGAAGGACGGAAAGAGAGGGGGCGAGTGCGAGTGCTTTTTTATTGTTTTAACCGGCAAAATATGCTGGGCTTAAATTGGGCTGAATTAATTAATTGCAGGGGCCATTTCGATAGGTCCGCAGGGTTGCCACCTCGCTGCGAGGGCCTGGTTTGGCAGCCCTGGCCGCGGCGGCAAATGTAAACATTTAATTTATGCAACCGCTGCAGTAATTAGGCGAAAATCAATTAGGCAGACTACTCCAATCGCCCGCTCTCTCTCGCTCGCACTCACACACGTGCGTATCGGGTGCGCTCTTCACATGATTCCTCGCGTAATTCCGTTGGAATTTTTCACACACTATTATTTTTTCCTTTTTTTTTTCTGCCGTTTTACCTTGACGAGTTTTGTTCTCGTTGCGATTGCGTTGTATTTCAAGTTTATCACACATACACATACGCACACACTCACGCGCGCACCGAAACGTGCACAAAATACACATGTTAACCATAAAAAAAAGCAAAGCAAACTTATAGTTATAGTATGACAGTTGTTTTTTTGCAGCTCAAAACCCGCCCAAAAATTAATGGAAAATTACAGTTGTTGTCGGCGTCGCTGCTGCTTCTTCGCACTCTTCTCTCTCCGTCGCTCTCTCTCTCTCTCCCTCCTCACTATATATATCCTTATAAGCACTAACAATTTCTGGCTCTCTCTTTCACTCCTTCTTGCCTCTATGCCTTTTTATGCACACACACACACACTCGCACGCAGCGAGACACTCACACACGCACACGACTGGTTCTTTCGAGAATCGAATTATTACCGAAATTAATCATAAGCAATGGCTGCGCCTCGCAATGCAAGCTTGCATTTCCTGTGCAGATTGCACTCCTCCACCGCGATTGTCCCTTTGCAACGCCCGTTAACTTTAGTTAGTTTAAAAACGACAGCAAAATTGCAATTTGTGTGCGAACACGCGACTAATGGAGGAAAAGGTCCTAAAATTGGATGTGGTATTTTTGGCAGTATATAAATACCGGAAAATCCCTGGGGAAAAGCGAGGGCAAATGGTCCTAAAATTGGATGTGGTATGGGTGCGTGTCCTCGCTATATTAGCGAGTACAATCACTAACTTAGCCGAGTCACCAACCATAATTGTCGATAAGCTGCCAGTGTGCACACATCTGATGTGTTATCGATCGGTGGCCATCTCTAACTTAGCCGAGTCACCCACCACCAGTGTGCACACATCTTTGTTATCGAACAGTGAGAATTTTGATGCGCATTAAGTTATTATATTATTAACTTAAAAACCCCGTTTTTCGGCCAAAAAAGGTAGAGTTAAGCAGCAAAATACAAACTTAGTTAAAGAATTTAATACCTAAACCCATTGCAGGTTATAGAAGGGGTCGACAGACGAACTTCAGCTGACAACCAAAACACGTGCCAAAACAAAAAAGGTTTATTTTCATTTCGCTCCCCGTGGTGATTGCAACAAAACTCCAGCAAAATGGGAATGGTAACGAAGCGCAAGAAGATGCACTACGGCGATACGCATCTCCAGAGGCGTTGGCGTGTGCGAAATCGGCGCCGTGATCTCGACCAGATCGACGATGATCTGAAGACCCGCAGCGGGGAGCTGATCAACCAGAACGTGGACCTCGATAAGCCCGGTTTCGCGCAGTTCTATTGCGTGCACTGTGCCAAGTACTTCATCGACGACACCGCCATGCAGGCCCATTTCCGTACCAAGGTTCACAAGCGGCGCTTGAAGGCACTGGAGATCGAACCCTATAGCATCGAGGAGGCGGAACGGGCCGCGGGGCGTGGCAGCTTTGTGAAGCCCAAGAAACGGGCCATGGAAACGCAGCCCTCCAAGGAGGACGTCGTCGCCGGGAAGAGAATCCGGGTGGAGGAGGTGCCGGAGGAGGAGGAGACTGCTGCCGAATCGCCATCGACGTCCAAAACGAAGCGCAAGAAGGCCGAGAAAATGGAGACTTAGCCGGCGATATGGGATAATGGGGATCCTAACTTAGTTCTTAAGGGCTCTTCGACACTCTGATTTCTTTTAATGTAATTCTTTTAAATACATTTTTTTCCTACATAAATATGTTGTGTATCTAAATCATCTGTATTAAGGGAATTCAAGGATCCTAGAAAAGGGAAACCTAACTAAAGTCTATTTTCTAGACTCTAAATTCTAAAACCTAAACTTCATTTTTGAACATTTTACCAATCCATAAATTGATTTATAAAACTCGAAACTCGGTTTTCCTGTAATGTAATTCTTATAAATACATTTTTTTTCCTACATAAATATAATTTGTGTCTGTATCATTTGAATTAATGGAATTCTAACTAAGGTCTAGATTTAGACTCTAGATACCCTGAAATTCTAAAAGCTAACTCCATTTAATTTTTAAACATGGGTTGGTAATCCATAAATTGATTTATGAAACTCAAAACTCTGTTTTCCTGTAAAGTAATTCTTATAAATACATTTTTTTTCCTACATAAATATGTTTTATAATTGTATCATTTGAATTGAGGGAATCCGAGGATCCTAGAAAGTTATGACATATTTGAGGTCTAGATTTTAGACTCTAGATACCCTGAAATTCTAAAATCTTAACTTCAATTTATGGATTGGTAAAATGTTCAAAAATAAAATGATTTATGAAACTGGAAACTGATTTTCTGTTAAGTAAATATGTTTTGTACATCTGTAATACGGATATCCAAGGATCCTAGAAAATCAAAACCTATTTCAGATCTATATCGGTGCCTATCCTTTGATCTACCTTTTCAAGACTATGTTTTCTTGTACTGAAATTCTTATAAATACATTTTTATCCTAAAAATATGATTTTTATCATTTGTATTAAGGAAATCCAAGGATCCTAGATACCCAAAAATTCTAAAATCTAAACTTTAAATAAAATTCGTTAAAATTTTGCCTTAAATCTCAGTTCAATAGCTTGATTTTCAAACTAAATATCTCTTTTGCAGTCCAAAAATCTTCAAAAATAAAATTCACTTTGATATTTTCAATTTCATTCATTCTTCATGGTATAAATATATTTTCGCTTCATATATCTCCGCTCGAGCGGCTCTCGGATATACAATAATTAAACTTAGGTCTAGGCTAAGACTATTCGAACTATACAACATGATGGTTAGTGCATCCATGCACTTTCTTTGTTGGTTTGCTGGCTTGCCTTCGCGGATTCCAGCCCATACAATATACAATCCTTGGCGGCCATAATCTTCATGATCATTCTCTCCTAGCTTTTTTGGTATTCCTTTTCCTATTGTTCATGATTGAAACGTTTTTCCTATAAATATATGTGCTCCATTTGGTTTTTTTGGTTATTCTTCCTGCAGCTTGAGGTAAGTAGATGTGGCCACTTGGACACTTGTGTACACTGGACGAGTTTCTTCTGGTTCTTCTGGGATTTCAGATGGGTGTGCGTGGTATATACAATCGTGACATGTGACTTGGGGTATAGTTTTATATACAAAATGTGTGTGATAATGTGAGGACTAGTTTCACAGCTTGTTGATGGCCGATTGCTGCAGATCGAGGGCCACCTGCTGCTTCAGTTGCTCCGGCGTGGCGGCCACCGTCTTGTGATTGTGATATCTCTGCCGCCGGATCTTCCTGGGTGTTCCATCCGCCTCCTGATCCCCCGTTGTTTGTTCCCCCTCCTCGGCGGCCGTAAAGAACGGATGCTGCAGCGCCTCGTCGGCGGTGATCCGCTTGTGCGGATTTATTTCCAGCAGGCGATGCAGCAAATCATAGGCGCTGGCCGGAAAACACTCGTAGGCATCCAGCGGCTCCGTCAGATACTCGCTATCCTCGCACAGGCAGTTGAAAAAGTACTGATCGCAGTTGCGGCACACCTCGCATCGCCCGTCCACGGATTCGTGGCTCTTGAGCAGCTTGGCATCGCTGAAGACGGAACGGTGGCGAAAGCGCAGGCACAGCTTCCTCAGATTCAATGGCCTCGATCGCTGACTGAGCGTGATCATGCGCTCTAAAGCGAGAGCAGTTTTCCTGATCGCCTGATCCCCGAATATCGTTACAATCTCCGCAAGCGCTATGAAATCATTGGGTGCTTTGAAGAAGGGATATACAGATGACATGATTGATAGGAAAATCACTCCAGCTGCCCAAACATCCACGGCGGTCGTTTGATCTGGATACTTGAGCAGCACTTCGGGCGGCCGATAGCCAGGAGTTCCAGCACGCGACGCGTGAACCTCCTTCTTCATCAGGCAGTTGAGGCAAACGGATGGATTGGCAAAGCAAAAGCACTTGGCATTGTTTGCATTCGACGATCCCGCGGCATTGCGATTTGTATTGTACTTGCTGCCAGATGAGGAGGGTGCTTGATCCACCTGCTGCTGTTGCCCCTGCTGCACTGGCTGTTGCACTGGCTGGACGGGATTAGAGCCATCCTGCTGCTGATGCTGTTCGGCAATATCATTGACTGGCTTTAGAGGCATCTTGCTGACGTCCTCCTGCAAACGCATGCGCTTCACAGCTCCGCCCAGGCCAGCATCCGCTGGTGCAATCTGCTGCTGCACTGCCTCCATGGCATCCCGTTCCCTCGGCCGCTTGCTATTATTATGACTGTTGACGACGGCAGAAGAAGATCCCATTGCCGGAGGAGGATTCACATGCTGGGCCAGGCCAAAATCAACCAGCAGAAACTCACGACGTCGGCGATTGTAGAGGAAATTGCTAGGCTTCACGTCGCGATGGATCACATCGAACTTGTGGACATGCCGGAGGGCCACCAGCAGATTGCGCATATACAAACGGATCTCGGGCACATCCATGCGCGTGTAGAAGTCGTGGAAACGGTCGTGCGCCATGTAGGGCATCACAAAGGCGGCGGAGGCGTCGCAGCGCAGGCAACAGTGGATGCCCACCACGTTCTCGGTGCCACTAGAAAAAGAGCGAGAAAACAATACGTTAGATGGGATTCATTTTTTGGATTTCGATATAAGGGTGGGTAAAATATTATTGGGTCATATGATGATCAATTTAATTTTTGGCACTGATCTTAATAATTTTTAACCTATTTAAATAAATCTACAAATTTCTTAAGAAGAAGTGGTATTTTAACCAGAACTTTTATAACAATTAGATTTCGATATAAAGGAAGAAAAAATAAATTAATATGATAATCAAATTTTACAGATATTTTCAACATAAAACAATAAAATATGATGACATTTTTGTTCAACTTAAAAATATATCTAAAAATTGATTAAGAAAATGTAGGATTTGAAACCGATATGATTACATTTTTTCAAACTAAAAATAAATCTAAAAATTGATTTGGAAAAGGTGGTATTTGAAACCGAATCTTTATAATACTTAATCTTAAAGGATTTAAATTCTGGTCAGGATTGTGAATCCACAAAGAATCAGTTTTTATGGCCTTCAACTTGGATTTTTAAAAAATACATATCGTTAATACAGATTTGTTCAATTCCTATTCTTCAAATCTATATAGACAGTGCCCAGCCCACAGAAATGTTATTTTTAAAGATAGCGAAAATAAAATGTGAACAATACGATTGGAATGGATTGGAATGGAATGAATTGATTAAACTGGACGACAGCCGGTTTATTGTAAGTCAACTTTCCCTTATAGTTGTTGTTATTGCTCCCTGTCGGTAAAGGTAAGGTAAACAACAACAATAACAACAGATACGCCCCCGCACTTCCGCCCACTTTCGATGAGTGGGAGTGAGACAGGCGGAGGGAGAGAGTGAGAGGCACTTCGACGTCACTCAGAACCAGTGATGAACTGGTTTTTAGCTATTTTATAGCCAACAACTTTACAACATTTATATCTTTAAATATTTTCAAATTCATGTTACCTTTTAATCACAAAAATATTTATATTTTAATAAATTTATCAAAAGTATGTGGAAATGTGGTTTATTTTAGTTTATAATTGCCCAAAATGCTTGAAGGACCAATTTGTTGTGGGTAAATGTAGACTTTTTGGGATAGAATGCAAGTTGATATGTAGTTACAACATTTATATTTTCAAACTTTTTCAAATTCCTGTTACCTTTTAATCACAAAATTGCCTAAAATGCTTGAAGGACCAACTTGTTGTAGGTAAATGTAGACTTTTTGAGTTAGAATGCAAGTTGATTTGTAGTTGGGATTGGGATTTACTATAATTTAGAACTGTTAAAAATGCTTAAAGGACCAATAATTTATATTTAATAAAAATATTTTGAACAAAAAAACTTTTTCTTTAATCCACGTGATCTTTATGAGCCACTTTTCTAGCCAGCTGCTCAGCACTTTGCCGAGAGGTGAGCGATGCGATGGGCGATATGGCAGATGCGAATTGCGAACTGGGCGATGGGCAGGCAAACGGCAAACGGAATACGAGCGACCATACGGCATATGTGAATATGTGAATACGTGAGGGAGCACTCGGCATGGCCCAGTCATAATTATCGTCGGCTGTGACGCAATTGGGTCTTCGGAATTTGCGCAAATCGCTTGAATAGACACAAAATCGCAGCAGGCAATGGGTCTTTCTTTTTTTTGTTTGAGGGGCAAAAGATGGGTAATGGGTAATCCGGGGGCAGGCAGCCGGCTAATGTCAAACACGCAACTTGGTCGCCCACACAAACAGTATACCCACTCACTCTTTTTTTGTTTTTTTTTTGGTATAGGAGAAATAGAGAAATATCCAGGGAGCTGACCAATGACGATGTAGGTACTACTACCCCAAACTCCTCCGGTTCGAGGCGGTATTGAACCGATTTCGATTCGGTTTCGTATTCGTACTCGGATTGGGGGGGGGACTAGTACGCCTAATCTAATCGACTGACGGGGGCTAGTAGCTCGTGAATCGATAACAGACGGCTGGGATTGCAGGATATGCCAGTGTCTGTAGCCGAAAACCACGCATGTGTGATGTGCGCGGGCTGTAAACAAACATTACAGCTGGCACACAGGAAAAAAATTGTATATAACTAGGAGATTTGATCAAAAAATCATCAGTATATGTTGGAAAATATTAATTAAAAGCATAAATAATGGAATTATAAATACCAAGCTAATAAAATAGAACAATTTCTTACTCAAGGGTGGGTTTTGAACTCGTGCCCTTGTAACTTTCTAGCCTATTTAGCCTTTTTAAGTTTAAAAAAAACGCTTAATTCTTCCCCAATTCTTGTAAGTAATGCATTACAAATAGGTAATAACTTGTAGGACTGAAATAAAACCAATAATTATTAAATTAAAAAAAAAAATTTACAATTTTCTTGGTAAAAACAAAAGCATTTAAATGCGATATTAAACAGATTTCTTTTTCTCTGTCTTTTGGCGTAAATAAATGTGAATTTCTGGCAGATTTTGGCAATATTTATATGTAAAACTAGAGACTTTTTCTCGCTGTGCAGAGAGAGGGCTACGGGCTTCAATGTAACTGTAAATGGGCACGTGAATGGCGTGTGAAAGTGCAATAAACGAACGCCATAGCCATCTAGCCGTCTCTCTCGCTCGTTCGTGCGGCGAAATAAATTGCAATGACGTAGATATGGAGCGGCAGCTACCGGCTGACGTCGTTTAACGGCGCTTGACGCAGACGAAGAAGAGGACGTGGGAGGAGTGCTTACTGTGTATACATATATAGGATTAGGATTAGGATTAAAGACCTACCCCATCTTGGTCATGCACTGCAGCTCCTTCATTATCCTATCCGGATGACTGGTGGGTATATGATGCTTGATGGCGAACTTGCGACGCAGACTGTCCGGCAGATGCGATTCCCTGCGCAGAGTTCCCAGCAAGACGGTGCTAAAGGTGCCATTGCCAATCCGGCTGTGAACATCGAACAGCTTGCCAATGTCGGGTATTCGCACCAGGAGATCATTGATGGCATCTACATATATAGAGAATATAAAATATAATAGGTATTTTGAGATATCCTTAACCTGATCCTAACCTTCACTTTTATTGCGGGACTGCTTGGGTGTTCGCGGTGTGGCCAGCATTTCGGATTCCGCCGCCTGCTGCTGCTGCTCCTCCACTACACTGGACTTTCCCATATATTTGTTTCCAGTTCCTGGAAGCCTCTGATTCCTGGGCGCCGCTCGCCAGGATCCCCCGCCATTGGCATAGACCATTTGATGGGGACTCGCCGCCAAACCATTCGATTTGGGGCGACGATAGTGGTGACTCCCGGGCGTCGCCAGTTCCTGGCACATAACGCGATCGGCCATTGGGCATCTGCGTCTGGAAATCTAGAGAACCTACGATAAATTTTGGATAAAACGGTACAATTTCGATTATAAACTATAGCCAAAAACGAGGGAATAAGTGTGTGTGTTTTGACTTTCTAGTGAGTGATAGCCTACTACTCACTTGGACGATGCTTCTTCTGCTGTCTAGAGATCCCAGAGAGAATCGAGAATCCAGAGAATCTACTGCTGCGCCGCCCTTTAATCCCGGAACTCTGGCTGTGGCGCAGCGTCCGCTGGTCGCAAGTGGGTTCCCCGGATGGAGCACATTAACTGGCCACCGCACTGGTTAGTATCGTATCGTCTAGATTATGTGCTCGTCTTCGGTCGTCGGCGTTCCGTTCCGCGGGAGCGAGAGATGGTATGAAAGTATCAAGCCCTATAATATAATATACCATGCCATAAGTACCCGAAACGTCTGCTGCCGCCCAGCTGGTCACACTGCGTTGGCGGGAAAATCATTTAACCGGCAGATTTTAACCCTAGGTTTTAAATATCTCTTTATAAAAAATATATACTTGTTGTTTAACTAGATTTATTTTTTGTCTTATTTTTATTTATTGAAATAAACATGTTTGGCTAGTTTTTTAAGCCACATTTTGATACTACTTCAGTTAGTTATTGTTTGTGTTTAATTTATTTAATTTTAATATTTAATTGCATTTCTTTAAGCCATTTTTTAAGAGATAATCTCTAAAATATAAAATATTACATATTTATTTATTAGGGCTATTCCCCTGCTGACATATACCAAAAATACCAATAAATACCAGCAAAGGTATTTTCCGCAATGTGCTCCGCTCGCGGCACGCGTTATTCGTCTTTTAGCACATTCCGCGCGGGCGCCGGCGTCATTGAATTGCTCGAAATTTCTGCGATTTTACGAAATTAACCAGCTGCCATTCGCAATTCACACGAAATGTCCCTGGAACAGGTGAGTTCGCGTGATCTTCTGCTTAGTTAACCATATAATAACGATTAACTTTAATGGGGAACAGCTCAAGAGCGATGTGGCCGAAATTGCGGCCTTTCTGGCGCAGGCGAAAGGTGCCCGCGTAAAAGGCGTGCTGACCACCGCCAAAGCGGAGGCCGAGCGGGAGATCGTCAACCTGGAGATGAAGGCCAAGATTGCCGCGGAGCGAGAGGCCTCGGGATCCGGAGATGCCAAGAGGTGAGCGATAAGCGGGGGTGCTCCAAAGGGAGCATGCGATTCCTAGGGAGTCCTTATCACACGAGGGTCTCGAAATCTTAGCACTCCAAACGGTACAGTTTCAACTATAATCAGCCATAAAATACTAAAACTACAGCTAGATTGTCAGGACATCTAGATTTTCATCACAAATCACATCATATCTTCATTATGGTTCTTTATGTCTCAATATCTCAGCCCTGTTACTCTTGTACTTCGGGTTTCGAAGGGTTCATAGAGATTGTATCATATCTCCATTATCATATCATTATCCGGACTCAAAGGGTTCACAGAATATAAAATACTATAACTTTAGCTAGACGTTCGTTACGCTTGTCAGGAAATCTACTTTTATATCACATCATATGATATCATATATCATATCATTCCTTCCTTTATGTCTGAAAATCTTAACCCTTCAAATTGTACAATTCTAACTGTCATTACCCAAAAAGTACTAAAACTTTAGCTATAAGTTTTTTAAGATTGTCAGAAAATCATATCATAACTTCATTATGTCATTTATGTCTTAAAACCCCAACTCTGTAACTCATGAACTTCGGGTTTCGAAGGGTTTTCAGAATTTAATCATATTCTGCTTTATGTCTTGTCCAATTTACTTGATAACCTCTCAGATAATACCATCACTTTTGCTAGATATTTTCCAAATTGTCGGGGAAATCAATATGAAAACCAAAGATCAATAAGATCTAGGCGTTTTCATCGTTTGTAATTTTTCCATAGGCAGGTTGATCCTATCCTGATTTGTATCTTGTTTAAGATTGTCAGGAAATCAACATGAGATAAAAAAAATAAATAAGATCAGCACGCTTATATCATACAACATAGCATATCTTTCACAATTTTTAAGACATCTTTCAATAGGCAGTAAAGGGAAGCTTTTTCGAACTTTTAAAGTACATAATATGTAAATTTTCATCACACATCATGTCATATGCTCCACATGGTTCATTATATGCTTCTATCGAGGTTAAAGGGTACTATATCCGATCATCTGTATACCTCTAAAATTATTGATATCAAAAAAATTGTAAAAAGATGCCCATACTGTTATTTGTTAACCTACACTCAAAAAATTAATCGCCCTTGATTTTAGAAAATCGCCTATAGATTTGCTTCACTGGCGATTTTTTTCTTCAAAATAAAAAAAATTGTACTGGTAAAGAAAATTTTCTTCAAATTAATCAAAATTTATTAAATTTAAGAAATTTTCCAGAAACATAGAAAAAAATCGTCAGTAAAAAAAATCTATAGGCGATTTTCTAAAATTCTTTTTTGAGTGTAGTTAAGATAAGTTAGCATAAGCCTGCAGCCATTAGTAAACCCCCGATACCCCCCAGATATCTGCACGAGCTGACCAACTACGGCTGGGACCAGAGTGAGAAATTCGTGAAGCTCTTCATCACGCTGAACGGCGTGCAGGGCTGCACGGAGGAGGATGTGACCGTCAGCTATACGCCCACCTCGCTGCAGCTGCACGTTCGCGATCTGCAGGGCAAGGACTTTGGCCTGACCGTAAACAATCTGCTGCACGGCATTGATGTGGACAAGAGCTACCGCAAGATCAAGCAAAATATGGTGGCCATCTATCTGAAGAAGTCCAAGGACGATGTCCACTGGGACGTCCTCACCGCCATCCAGAAGCGACTGAAACAGAAGGCCGACAGCGAGCTGAGCAAGGACAGCGATAACCCGGAATCGGCGCTGGTCAACATCATGAAGAAGATGTACAACGAGGGCGACTCCAAGACGAAGCAGATGATTGCCAAGGCCTGGACCGAGAGTCAGGATAAGGCCAAGTTGGGCAAGGAGGCGGGCGGAGGCTTGGCCGGCGGTCTGGACACTCTCGGCGATCTCTAGATATTACATTAAACCCACCATCCAAATGTAATGTATTGCTAAATACCTAAGCACTGCTTTGATTCCAGCACACTTTGTATATGTGGATAAATAAAAAATAAATAAAGTCCTGCGAGGGCATTAAGTTAAAAAAAAAAGAAAAACGTTTGCCTTTTGGTTTTCATCATATATTTTATTATTTTTGTATATAGGCTTTCATTATTTTTATTAAATTCTTGTGATTAAAATCAATTATGCTGCTTGTTTGTCTAATCTATTCCATTTGTAATAGTTAGTTTGCTTTCGAAATCGAAATGAATTGATAATTACACTTTAGCTGTATTTAAAATACACTTTATATGTTCTGCGATATATAACCAAATACATGTACATATTATATTATATTTGCGATGCGATGTGATGCTGCGATGCGATGCGATCTTTCTTCCTCTGTTCGCTCGATTTTTTATCAACCTTTTTCTTTTTTTTATTTTTTGGCTTGCGAATGCAAATTGCTTAATTCTCTATAATTGTAATCACACCACGGTTCAGGTGTGTTTTTGTCTATGTGTGTGTGTGTGTGTATTGGAACAATTTAATTGTTAAACAATTAATCATTAATTATTTTGTTCGTTTCTATACATAAATTGGTAATCATTTGGTGTACAATAAAAAGCTGAAAAACGCAACTTAATTCGAATAGAAATTATACGAAAAAGAACAAAAAAAAGTAGGTACAAAATGAAAATGATATAAGGTATCGATACTATCGACAGACTGAACATTAAGGCCGATTTTACATAGTATATAATAACTATACACAACATGGGGGGCAATTGGACAAACACAATTTACAATCTATATAGTTATGATCATAGGTACGTTGTACTAAACTATATGTTAACATTGCTAGGGCTAAAGAAAAAAAAAGATAATAATCGTACAATATATGTATGTTTTTTATAATAGATAGTAGAAATTGTAGAAGGGTTCTGTTCTGATAATTATGCTATGGTTCATTCGTTCGTTCTGTCCTAACAAAAGCTATAGTTTCTCAGTTATTTTCCTTTTTTTGTGACCGTTTTTCTTGTTTTGTGTTTTCAAGTTTTATATGTTTTATATCTTTCATACAGTACGCATTTATTAATTTCGAACTAAACTTCCGAAACGCACTGTATCCCTCTTGTAGTGTGTGTGTGTGTGTTTTGATTTTTTTTTTTTTGGTGGTGCAAGTTTTGTGGGTTTCTTGAAGAGCGTGATTTTGGAGTTCCCAGACCAAGGAGCACCCACTTTTTCCGGGGCCTTTCGCTTTATTTCCTAGCTATGATTGCTATATCCCTAACCGAATCCACTCTTCCTCTTCCTTGTATATGTATATATATATAGCTATACTGTAAAAGTCGAGTTGTCTAAAAGCTAGTCATCTTTCCAGATCCCCGGTTCCTTCGATCCTCCGATCCTCTGATCTCAAGCGTACAAAAATAAATGTATTCTGCTTCGCTACAAATCGAATCTGAAGAATTTGCTTGGCTTTACTTTAAAAATTTCTAGAAAACTATGTATGCGCGCGCCCTCTATATGTTTTTGCGATCGTGTGTGTTTGTGAGTGTGTCTTTATGCTTTTAAATAGATATATATATATATATATATATTCGATATTGTTCTGATTTTGCGGCTTTCGTGTAAATTTAAAATTCCTGTTCTAGGTCTAGACAAAAAATTGATTTAAAATTTTTACTCGAGTCTCAAATTTGGATTGTATATATGGTATATATTCATTACCCTAGATCAGCACAGATCGAAGCGATATATAGCTTTAAATACAAATAAAATGCTTGCTTTTGTTTTTACGAAAATGCTGTTGTAGAGTCACAAAAATGATATTTGGAAATATAAAGTTAAGGGAAATCTATTAAGTGGTTATACGAAAAGAGAGAGTAGATATAACGTCGATTACAGGGGGTTCATTATAAGTTGAGCTTAAGAGAGAGCTGTTTGTTTATAGGGTATAGATATGCTTAGGGGTCTCTGGCTGCTAGGGATTCTGATTCTCTGATTCTGACCTGTCGTCTGTCTATGAGGCAGTTTCAGTTTTTCACTTTCTTCACTCGACATTTCTCGATCCTGATTCTGATTCTGATTTGGGTGTCCTACAGCTATGGCTTTACTTTCGGATTTCTTTGTCTTTTGGTTTTTCTTTGTTTCTTAATGATTCTCCTTCTGATTCTCTATCAGGAGATTTTCTTTATTGGACTATCTTTCGGGTTTAAATCTTCCGAATGGGTGATCTTCTGAGTTCCCCCTTTTGACCCTCCAATTCTTCACTTTCTTCTTATGGATTCTTCACATTCTTCTCTTTCTTCGCATGGATTCTTCTCAACTGAATTTGCTGATCTTCTGAGTGCCCATTCTTCAGTTTCTTCTCAGGGATTCTTCTCATCTGAATTTGCTTTTCTTCTGAGTGCCCATTCTTCTCCAGGATTCTTCTCTCTTCTGCTCCCCACGCACACACACACGCCGTAGCAGCAGCAGACAATTCCAGCTTGGCTCTAATCCTATCCTATTGCCTACACATACGTACTACCCCGCGATCTCTGCTCCCTTTGGAGGCTTTTCAGAAAACCCTCGACTTGGCTTGGAAACGGACCTCCACCTGGACGCTTGGCGTCCTCCGGCGCTGCTAGTAAAGCTCTGTATGATGTCGCACTGGCGCTGGAATCTTGGACATGCCCCTCTCCCGCCTCGGTGAGACCACACTAGATGATCCTCCTGTTCCTGCTCCCTGATCCTTTGAGTTCTGACTCTCACACGAACTGGCAGCGGAACTCCGCTTGGATCTGGCCTTGGCTGGAGGAGAACAGCTCTCCGAACGCTCCAAATTCCCATTGCTGTGCACCCAGGCGGTGGTGAAGTCCTCGTAGACGGGAGTCTTCTTGCCATTAGTGCTACTGATCTTTCCTGATCCTCCCTTCGCTTGGTTACCAGCCGCATAGCGTGACAGCAGGGACTTCATCTTCTCCAGAATCTGGGCATCGTTCTTGGCGCTGCTGGCCGCCTCCAAAAGCTGTTGTGCCAGCGGCGAGGAGGCATGATTCTTCACGGGAGATGTGGTCAGCGAACTAGTGCATCCGGGTGCTCCACTTCGCACTCGCCGTCCATTGCTGTCGTACAGGATTTGCGAGGAGCGTCCCTTGCCATTCCGCTCAAAGGATGCTGCTCCTCCATTTGCATTTGGTGGCGCCACAAAGGTATCGGCGTTGCAGGGCGGCCTCCTCTTTGGTCGCCCGCTCCACGTATTGGTCACATCCCGCACCATGGGCAATTGGGTGGCTTGACGGGATCGCGGAGCTGCAGGAGGCGGAGGAGGAGGCGTTGCTCCCGTGGAGTTGCGCGTTCGCACCGAACGATAAACGGGCTGTTTTCGGCTAAAAGCCGGTGCCGGCAATCCGGAGCGATTACTGCTCAAATCCTGAAGACTTCCGCCGGCACCACCGCCACATGTACTATTGTCGATGCTCCGGCGACGACGTTGCGCCAGCGGAGAGCGCGGAATCTTGCTGAGATTGGGCGTTGGAACTGCGAGGGCAGAAGCAACAGGATCCTCGGTCTTGGCCATGTCCACGGTGATCTCGTCGTCGGTGATGAACACACCGGATCGCTCGAATTTGTCGTTTAACTTGTGGGCCACGCTTAAAATCGCCGGCAGGGATTGGGGACCATCGCACACAGAGTAGTCCTCGTGCTCCTCCTCCTCCTCTGCTCCTCGATCATGGCCATTCAGATCCTCTTCCTCGAGAATATCCACGGCTGTCTTCTCATCGGTCGCCGGCTCATCGGAGGGCGAGATCTGCGAGTCACTGGAGGTCTGATCCAGACGCGCTGTAAAGGGGGAAGTGAATAGGTAGAGTCTATTAGATTTGCTAAATTATTAGGTCTTGAAACTAAAGATAAAGTCTTAAAAATATATAAAATATATATATCTGCATATTAATACAATACAATACAATACAATATAAAAAGAATTCAATAATAGTGGATAGTATTAGATACGATGTTAGTCGTAAAAAGAAAAAAATTTTTTTTTATATTAATTAAAATTAAAGTTTGAAATCTATAAATGGTAAATTAAATATTTACATATTTGAATTTTTTTTCTTCTTTTTTTTATTTTTGTCTGTTTTTTCCTTTTTTTTCCCCATTTTTTTTGTATAAACTTTTATATTTGAAACTAAAAAAACCGCAATGCTTTAAAATTAGAGAAAAAAATAAATTGAATATTAAATATTTTGATTCTATAATTTTTATTATTATATCTCCATAAATATTCAAATATATTTTTCTTGTCTTTTTAACCTGACAATAAATAAATAAATACAATTTTCTTGTAAACTAATTTTTAAACATTTAAGATAGAAAGTATATCTCCAAGTCATCTTTATTTTTTTTTTTTCTATATTTTCGATTATAAAATTACCCAATAATATTAGGGTATTGTTTAAAATTAAAACCCAACTACCAATTACCTATTAATTTGGTATGGGTTTTTAGATGGGTTCTGCATGCGGATCACCCACTCACCATTGCTTTCAGCGTCCTCGATTGAAGCCTGACTGTGGAGGGACTCGCGTTTCTGGGCTCCGGATTGGATGACGCCCAGGCTGCGGTAGCCCTCATCGCTGATCTCGCTGCCATTGTCGCTGATGTTCTCAAATTTGTTGGCGCCACCCTGCTCCGCAGTTGCTGCTGCTGCTGCTGCTCCTGATCCCTGGCCAGCTCCTCCGGCAGATCCACCACCATTCGCCGCCTCCTCCATGGAGGAGCAACTGTAGCCGGGCAGCGATTTGGGACCACTGCTGTACGAATCCAGGGAGCTCTGCTTCTTGCGCATATCGATCAAACGGCGTGGACTCGGCGACATAGAGCGTCGGGCCAAACTGGGTGATCCCAGTAGCTGACCGGCGCTGGAGGATTCGCTTATGACTGTCTGGCTGGTTACCGCTGTTTGGGATGCGGATGCACTGCCTCCTCCTCCACCGGCCACTCCATTCGTCTGCTGGTTGAGAAACTTTCGCTGGGGCGTCGGACTGCGACTGCGGTACTTGCCCGAATTCGGCGATAGACTGTGTCCGTTTTGGAGCGATTGGGGCGGGGGGGCCACGCCCACTCCTGCGGATGAGGATCCTGTTCCACTCGCTACCGTTCCCGATCCTCCATTGCAATTGGGATTGATAAAAACCCGACGAGCTGCTGGCGGTGACCTGGAAAAGAAAATGATCGGAATTAAGTTATCGATAAAAACGATACTAATTTTTTGAAACGATTATTTGATCACCGATTAAAAGGAACTTAAAGATTTTTATAAAAAAAAATCACACGAAATGGCTTAATGTTTCCATGCCTTAAACCATGTAACTAAACGATAGATTTATCGATTTCTTAACGATTTTACCGATACAACATTTTTCGTCGTTTTAAAAGATGTTTTTGGAAAAAAAGAACTCTGTGATAATAGGGACTCACCTCTCGAATATCACCTGTGCCTTGTGGAGCTCGATGCCATTGCTGGGATTGTGATTCGGCGACTGGCGAGGAACTAGACGGGCGGCCACGGAGCTGCGATGTTGGGCACGGCAGCGGCATGGATCGTGCTTGTCCAGATAATGGGATAGTGTATCCCAGCCGCCACCGACGCGCACCATCACGTGAGAACGAAGGATCTGCAAAAATTTATTTTTAGCTTGGTTTCCGAAAAACAAAAAAAACCAAACTCACCCGCACAAAGATAAGAACTTTGGTGTCGCCGATACGATATTTGCCCTCGGACACTCTGACCATGGGGAACTGTGAGGGACAAGTGCACTTCTCCACCAGATCCCTGACCTATAAATATAATACAATAATAGATTTTAAAGAAAAATCTCAAAATTCCCAAATGATCATCAATAATAATGATAGCACTTGTTAGAAATGAATAAATTACTCTTTAAAAGCATTTGATTAGTCCATAATAGTACATAGCCCACTAAATGGATCTCTCAACAAATGACCATATAAATGAGTAATGATGACAGGTATAAATTAAATTAATCGTTGTTATTAGCATTTATCTGTAACACTATATAAGTCGATGATGGCTAATTAAGCAAAATACGCAAAAAAAGATTCGATATGAAAAAAGGTAATTTCTACCTCATTTCATATCAATAAAAAGCCAATATGATTAATGTCAAATTTATGAGCCAAACATATCAACTTGATATTTTATCATTTCATATTATTTATAAAAAATACGTTTTAAAGCAACTGTTTTTTCAACAAATGTTGTAAACGTAATATTTATTCATATCAAAATGAGCCGGCACATATCAATCTGATCTTTTGAACAATTTTTTTTCTGTGTAGGTGAGAAAAATATAGTTAAACCTATCAATGTTCTCAGTGCCCAGTACTGTACTAGCGCTCTCCTTACAAAAATACTCTTGACTCCAAGTGTCCGACGTCCCCACGTTGGTTGACCCTTAGCATTGCATAAGCCTGACCCGATCTCTGTTCCCCGACTTCCTAACTCCCTGACTTCTGCAGTGGCAGTTTGTAGTTGCAGTTTGTATATTGGCCAAACAAAAAAAAAAAAAAAAAAAAAAAAAAAAAAACGAAGGAAGGAGGAGGAGAAGCAGAAGGAGCAGAGCGACGAGCATCGGGGTCACCAAATAGTTTTTCACTGCATAAATTCACGCGCTGCCATTGTCCAACAAACAAATGATCCGCAGGGGCGGCGAAGGCGAAGGCGATCGAGAGGGGGGCGGTGGGGGGCTACCCTTGCCCTAGGGATCCGATCCATGAGCCATGGGATCCATGGATCCAAGACCAGTCAACATCGGCTCCACCATCAGCAGTCCGTCCCAGCGGGCGGCGGCAGACAAACAAATGACGACTTGGCCTGGCCTGTCTTTGGGTCTGATTCTCCACTCGCAAAAATCTGCAGATGATTTGGCCCATAGAGTTTGGGGAAAAGGGGTCTTGGGTTGTGAAGGTGACCCAAAAAAATTTGTTTTCTATTAATCGACGATTATTTGTATACAAATTTATCAAGGGAATGGTTGAATAAATCTCTTTATCTCCAATTTATTCTTAAGTTCTTTTAGGAAAGGTGACCCAAACCTTCAAATTTTTTTTGGGAAGGTGACCCAAAATTGTTTTTTTTCTATTAATAGATTTTTTGTATACATACAAGTGAATGGTTGAATAAATCTGTTTATTTCCAATTAATTCTTAAGTTTTCTAGGAAAGGTGACCCAAACCTTCACTTTTTTTTGGGTTGGTGACCCCAAATTTCTTCTTTTTTTAATCGATTGTTATTTATATACAAATTTAGCAAGTGAATGGTTGCATAAATCTAATTATCTCCAATTTATTCATAAGTTCTTATTCGTAAAGGTGACCCAAACCTGCACTTTTAAAGCTTTTAACTTGAGTAATTTAAGCTCGTTTAATCTTGTTTTAATTTTACACACCATTAATCAAGTGATTAATTAAATTTATCTGGTTAACCCCAATTTAAACTTAAGTTCTTCTTATGAAAGGTGACCCAAAACGACACTTCAAAAGCTCATAACTTTTATTATTTGTATAGAATTTGATCAGACATTTCTTTGTCTATTTTCCAGTGTAATATTGTTTCTGGCCCAGGCTCCAACCCCACCTCCACTTCCATCTCCCCGTTACCCCATCTCCATCCTGACTTCTCCGCCAGCAACTGTGATCTCCCCCCCCCGAAACCCATTGCTACTGTAGTTTGTGGCAGCTTGGAGCTGCTGAGCAGCAACGCATTGGCACCTTTGAACTTTTGCAACTCCTTCTGGTTGGATGGGATGCGTGCCTAGGAGGAGCTACTCCATGGTGGCTCCCAGATCCAAGAGATCCAAGATCCAAGCTCTCCAAGCTGGAATCCCGACATGACAATAAATCTTTTGTCGGTTGTTGGTGGGGGGACATTGGAGCATTGGAGGAGGAGATCTGCCAGAGATCGGGGATCGGATTGGATCGGATCGGCGTGACTCTGACGCATACGAGATTAGCTGGCCATGGATTGCGATGGGGGATAGCGATGTGATCCTGGCCTAACCATAAATCGCATGCCACCAACTAACTGAGCAGCCAAACGGCCAAACAACCAAACAGCCAACCAACTTGCAACTCTGGAGACCGAAAAGACAGACAGGCGGATGGCTATGCGGACGTGCCAGCAGATCCAAAAAACTCCAGACTTTAAGAGTCGACAAATGATCGTGGCTTTTCCTCTTTTTCTTTTTGTTTCGCTTGCTGCTGCTGCTGTTGGTGGCACATCATTTGATTTTCGACAAGTTGTTGAGGCTATTTGCTGATTTGGCTGCTGCTGTTGCTGCTGCACAAATTGATTGGCTGCCTCGGAGTGGATTTTTTCGGCGGTCGAGGAGGAGGATGAGGAGGAGGAGTAGGAGAGGTCCATGTCCATGTCCAGGTCCATGTCCCATCCATCCAGCGACCATCCATCCCCCAGCTGTCGAACATTGTTGCTGCTGTTGTTCATGTTGCTGCTGTTGCTGTTGCTGCTGCTCATGTTGCCGTTGTCAATGTTGCTGGCGGCGTGAGGAAATGTTTGCATGGCTTTCATTAGTTTGGCCGTCAATGATTTTCCATTGCGCCTGACCAATCCTCATCCTCATCCTTTGTTGCTTATGTTGCTCATGTTGCTTTTACTGCTGTCGTCGTCACACTTGCAATTACATTGACAATTGCAATTGTTGTAATTGTTGTTGGCACATCGTCATCTTGTCAAATTAATTTGACATCTCAACATGGCAGCAGGCAAATCTTGAAAAAAAAACCCCTCATAACACCCAAAAAAAAAAAACGCTAAACCAAAGTCCCAGTTTCAATTGCTTCTGATTTGTTTTGGTATTGTTTTCGGCCCGCTTGTTGTTGTTTTTTTTTGGTAACTGGAAACTTAGCCATGGCTAAAAATGGACATGAGAAAACTAGCAACAACAACAGCAGCCCAAGCAAAACAATAACAAACAAAATCGTGAGTTGGGTTAGCGCAAAAACAAAAAAAAAATAAAACCTAAAATATAAAAGAGAAAACCCAAAGTGGACATTGGGAGTGGGACTGGGACACCAAAAGGAACGCGAACTGGGATGAAAAGCCCTGCGGGAAAATGGAAAACCAAAAGCGGAAAGATCTGATATCGGAAACCAAGTTGGCATACGGGCATATTCTGCATCACAAACAGAGTTGGTCTCACTAATTGTCAAGAATATTTTCATTTCATGCTTAATATTTGTAATTAAAACAAAGGATAAAAAATCTAAGGTCTGGATTCACTCACCATCTCATCGAGACTCTTCAGATCATTGGTGATTATCTGGGGCTGTGGGCCGTACATCAGTACGGGATTCTCATCGCCATCATCCTCGGTCTCCGAATCATCGCTGTCATCATACAGATCCGTCTCCACCGTCGTTGTCGTTATTGTCGTCGTTGTGCAGGCCGTACTATTTCCGGCGCCCATCCCCTCCGTTTGGGTGCCGCTTTCCGAGGAGCCAACTCCCTGGCCATTGGCCTTGATGTCGGCGGCGATCTCCCGATCAATTTGTCGCTCCATTTGCACCAGCATGGGAGCCAGCATACCTAAAAGTTTAGAATGGTTCGCCATTGGGAGATAATATTATTTATTAAATATTATTTTAAAATTTTATATCTTCGTATATCTTCTGAAGAAACCTACCGAATTTGGCACCCCGACGTGCCACCTCCAAAAGACACAGGATAACATGCTTTTCGTTTTTTCGCATAATCAGATCGTCCGTTTCGAACAGCAGGCACTCGATGATCTTAAGACTTTTTCTGAAAATTATATTCAAAAAAAGTATAAAAATCAATTATACTTAATTTCATATTAAACAGTGAGTAATAAAATTAGGTTACAAGGTACATATATGAACCAATATCTTAAGATCTGTATAATTTTTCAGTGAGGATTAAATGAAAAAAGTTTGCAAAAAAATTATATAATATGACTTTATTTTAGGATTTGAGTTAGGGATCTCGGAAATGTAGTTCAAGGGCCCAAAGTGAAATGATAATGTATAAGAACCAATATCTTAAGACCTGTCAAAAATTTCGGTGAGGATTAAACAAAAATAGTTTGTAATAAAATGATATAATATAACTATATTTGAAGATTTGAGTTAGGTAGCTACAGAATTCAGTTCAAGGCCTCACCTGCACCAGGTGATAAAGTTGGACACGTTGTCGCGGGCGAAGAAGGTGCCACTTTTGGCGGCCGGAAGGTAGTGGACGTTGCCCAGGGCAAGAATTGGACCCGCCAGGCCGGAGGTCATCGAGCGGGTCATCGATTTGTTGCGGGCCTGTCGCCGCGCCAGATAATCCTCGGCCGCCTGCCGCACATAATTCGCGTGCTGCAAGTGGAGGTAGAAAATAGAAGCATTCGAATTAGCATGAGATGATGCAGAAATTCCCAATGAGCACGGCAAATATTTCAGCAGAGTGCGTCGCGCGAGCGAGAGTCAAAAATACAAAACTAGAAAACGGTTTATTTTTAAGCTCCCAAAGAATTTAGCACGGCATTTTTAGGCTGTCCCCCGGTCTACCCCTTGAAATTCCCTCAATCTTCGCAGAATTGCAACCTGCAATGGGCGTTGAACGATCAACGTCGCGACAATACTTTTGATTTCATTTCTTCGAGTGTTTTGTGTTTGGTTTTCTTTTCTTTCTTTCTGGGGTGAACGATATTTTGGGGCAGAGGATTATCTCTTCCTGGAGGTGGATGTATGTTAGATTTTGAAAATTATCGATATTTTCGATATTTTTATAATATCGATTCGATAATGTTTTCGATGTTTTTAATAAAGAACACATATAAAATATCGAGAAATAGCAAATTGTCGATATTTTTCAAGATCTAATCGGGTATTAGATTTATCCTAACTATGGGGAACCTTGGGTTTTCATACATATATATTACAACTTCTTACACAAGCACTTCCCACTACTACAATTTGCCATTGGCACTTTTGACGTTTGGGGTTATGTCATCCGGAATACGAGAGTTCCCTGGTTCCAAAATAATAAATAAATGGAAAAAAAACTTAAGCTCCAATCCCATTTGGGGCGAAAAAACAACAACAACTGCAATCGTGTCTCGGCATGTCATGCATTTCCATTTGCATCATTCCATATTCATTTATGCACATTTTGTTGTAATAATTTAATATTTAAACAATATTATTATTTCTGCTTCTTCCACCGCCTCTCTTCTCTTTTATGGATATCTGACAAATGCTTTATTTGGTGTTTATTGTTTCACCTTACCATAATACCCTAACCCCAAATAAGGGCAACAGAAACTGCAACAACAGCAGTGATGACGATACGCTGACGTTTAAGATATACTATATAAAAATAACCCAAGGAAAGCCAGAGGAGATCAGGGAATTCTGAGCTAATTGCAAATATGCAAATCAGTGGGGGGAAGCTTCTAGGCTTAAAGCATTGTATAATCAGACCAGAGAGAACTAGAAACTAGAAATTCAAAGACCATATAGCTTTCATTTCAATGATATTATATTTAAAGTTCCTTAAAATGTTTTTGTAATATTTTTTAAAGGTTCTTAGTTCTCATTCTTGAATTTATGTTATATATTTATTTTCCAGCTCTGTATAAATAGTTCCTGAGAAAGGGCATTTATAAGTTGTTTTGGTGTTATTTTTTCTATATAATACCATTTCGGCATCTGGCTCTTTGGCTTCTTCTTTGGGCTCTTATCATGCCGCTTGCAAGGTAAAGCTGCGACGCCCACAACCCATTTCGGGAACCCAGAGGCGTTAAATGCATCTCCCTCGCCCCGTCTCTTTCTACGTCGCCATCTCTGTCTCCCTCGCTCTCTCTGAACAGATGCGCGCGCTACCCACGAAGTTGGTTTGGGCCTTGGTTTCACTTTGGCCGCCAGCTTAGAACCGAAGCCTCAACACAAGTACAGTGAAGGGCAGAGTAATAGGTTTATCTTCAATTTTATATTTGAAAGATAGGTACAAAGGGAAACTCACAGTTTATTAGATTTTCTACATTTAGCGGTATATCATTATCTTATATTTTTTTAATATATAAAATAGTAAATAAGAAACATACATATAAATATTCCCAGTTCTATCTTTGATCTTAAGATTTAAGCATTTATGATGGAGTTCAACCCAAAACCTACTTTCCTGACAGTTTATTAGGTTTTCTATTTACCTTTTAGCCCTATAAAATGGGTCTCATATCATTATCGATTGTGTTTTAAATTTGTTTATATAAAGGGTAAATAATTTTTTTTTTGTAAGTATACAGAATGTTTAAAAGAAATTTAACATACATATATAAATATTTCCAGTTCTATCTTTGATCCTAACTTTTTTATCTCAAGCTGCAAACATTTTTGATAGAGGTCATCCCAAGACCTATTTTCTTGACCTCTACTGTGGGTGTGTATGTGTAAGCGGTGTGTTAACTGCAGCACCACACCAATGTTTGTTTGGCTTCTTCCTCTTCTGAATCCGAATCTGAATCTGAATAATGCATGCAGAGTGGCGCGCGACAGAGACGAACGGACGAACATGCATATTTGATAATCGCAGCATCACATTTTCACTTTCGAAATTCGACAGTTGACTGTTGACTGAAAAAAAAAAACCGAGGGGGTGGACGGTTGTGGAAATGGAGATGGAAATGGTTATTATGACATCAAAACTTTCTTGCATCAACATCGCCGAAGAGAGCACGTGCCACTTGTTTGTTGTTGTTGTTTTCCGTTGATGCAGCAAGTGCAAGTGCAGGTTGCCATTGATAAATCGATATTGGGACACCGGAAAAAATAAATCAACCGCGGGCTATCAATTTTTTTTTTTGCGTTATTAGTTCATATTTATCTTATCTTATATACCAAGCAGTAAAACAGAAACCATTAGAAACCAACTAATATGATTGGAAACGCAAATCAATAATAATTTTTATAACTTTGGGGTCACCAAATCGCACCATTAACACATTATAGTTTGAAGGATTGTACTATCATTTTATTTTTTAGTTCATGTTTATCTTATCTGGTATACAATAAATCAGAAACCATTAGAGACTAACTAATATGATTGGAAACGAAATCTAATAATTTGGGGTCACCAAAGATCACGTTTTGTATATAAGAACTCTTTTTAAATATTGCACCTTTTGCTATCTTAAAGTAGAGGCTATATAGCAAACTGAATTTGGGGTCACCAATCGATAACTTTAGCAGATACGCCTCTGTAAGTATGCTTTAAATTACCCAAAAACATTTTAAGATATACCAGCACCCAAGTTGGTTTTTTTTTTTATCCATCTAACCTAGTGAACTGACATCCACATCCGCATCCGCCTCTTCAGAGTCAAGTGTCGAAGCAATTAACATGACTCTTCTGCTTTATACTACTTCTTCTACTTCTTATCCATATGTTTCTTACTTCTACTCTTCTCTTTTTTCTTTACTTTTTGTTCCCTGGGAATAGAACTTTGAGACGGAAAGAGATGGAAAGTGGGTCGACCTGTAGACCACCGCCCACGCCACTCAATCTCTGGCCACGCCTCCTTCATATTGCAAATACGTGACGGTGATGCGGTGGTAGAACGAGAAGAAGAAGAACAAGACAGCAAGGAGGCGGAAGAAGATGAGAGGTACAGTAGGACTTCTATAAGAAAGTTACCTCTGATATATCCACAGGTGAAAATACAAATTAAGTCAGAAAAACTTAAAGTTATAATGTGATATTTATACACTTCTTTTACTTATAGAGTCTTAAGCCTAAAGTGTGAGTTAGGCAAGCTTCACTGTAGATGGTGTGTGCAAAAATAAAAGAGAGGGCGTTATTACAGGTACGTAACGTCACGTAATTAGCTTAGATTTTTCTCTACTTTTTTTTCTGCGCTTTTGCCTGTGCACAAAATGTATGTCAATATGGCGTTAATAACATTACATGACTACTAAAAGCTATTGCACAAAAAAAAAAATGTAGGTGGTGGACGAGGGGGGTGGAAGAAATAAACTGCAACAACAGAAATAAACTCTGTCGCATTATTTGTACCGTAACATTCGAACGACGTAAGCCAGTGCAAAAAGCATTTTTTCGCTTCCGCAAAAGGCAAATTAAATAAAACAAAATTAAAGCGCGCAAAAATAACAGCAGCAGCCGAATAATAAATAAAATGACATTGCAAAAAAAATGAACGCAAAAAACAGTGGAGCTTCTATGGCTCCAACTTTTATAAGTTTCTCAATGAAAAAATTCCAAGTTATTGGAGTCAATTCATTATGTCAAAGTCTAATATTAATAAATAATACAACTTAAAGAGTTTATAATATAACGTTTTTAGGAGTTTTTTTTGTGTAGATAAAATTTTTTTTATTGCCTTTATTAAAATTTTTTTTTTTTAATATCTTTCTATTTATTTAAAATATGAAAATATTCGGAAATAAAACTGGAGTTTGATAGAGCTTCTTGGACAATTTATCTTCTTCAAAAAACAGAGTTAAAAAGCTCATATATGAAGTGTTCACTGTATCTCACAATAGTTGATTTTTGCAATTACACAGACGCATTTGTGATTCCTTCAGAGTGTCAAAGACAGGGGTTTTAGGCGGGGGAAGTTTGCTAAGCGGATTTGCCGCCGTTTCGACTGTTATTTTGTTATTATTATTATGTGTTTTATTTTTTTTTTTGTCGCTGATTGCCATCGATTGGCCACACAAACACACAATAAGCCCCGAACTGGGAGCTCAATCAAAATCACAAAACTGTCCGCGGCCCATTCAAAATCATATTTCAAACGCCGTTCCATCGGCGGCTTTGTCTCTTTGGGTTCAAGGTTCTCGGTTTCTCGGTTTCTTGGTTTCTCGGTTCTCCAATGGCGATGGCGATGACTTCCTACCCACAATCGTATTGCTTATATGGCTTTGGCAATGATAGATCGATCGATTCGCTTGCAAATGATTTCTGCACAACGCAGCTAGCAGGTAACAAACAATGATCGATCTATCGATCTCCTCTCCGAGATTCAAGATCCGAGATCCAAGATCCCAGATCCGCGGAGTTCAGCTCACCTGCTCGGAGGTCTTTTGATCTTGGCTAACGGTATTTCCATAATGCCCATAGAAGGCGTTCTTGTTTTTTTTCCCCTCTTTCTGTTTTGCTGTTTGTGGCCCAAAGTTTATTGCACTGTGTGTATATGTGTGTGGGAAAAAACTTTTGAGCGACCCTGACGATTGGCAATTTCGATAGCGAGCTCTGCAGAATCGATGAGATCACTCAGAATTAGCGATTGTCGATTGACGATTGCAATGCCGAAAGCATATCTGTGAAAACTAAATTAAAAGCTACGACTTCCGCTTGAAATGGTAATGGAAATGGCAATAATGCCAACAAGTGTGTGCTCCAATCCAATTAACCCAGTAACGGGAGCTATTGTTTGCCATATGTTGAGACAATCGAGTATTAGTTTTCACTGATTTCACGGGAAAAATATTTCGCTAGCTAGCTGAATAATAAACAAAAACATATCTTTCCCATTAGTGTTTTTTGTTGTATTTTTTATAGTTGTAAAATCAGCTTTTAATGGCTCGTAATTATTTGTGAAATCTATGGTATACATTTTTTAATTACTAGAATGTTTAGGCATCATAATCATATAACAAAGACTTGGGAACTGTATAATTCATAATTCCTTTTTTGAAGATATGCTTTAAGACGCATCAATTAGAGTTAAATCACCACCAGTTTGGCTAAATATCTTCGAAAATTAGCCAAGTTAATCCCTTAAATGGGCCAAAACGATCAGGTTGTTAATGACCGAGTTAATTTAGGGGAATGCCTTATAAGGTGGGGATGGGAAATGCTTCTGTATGAAATTATATTTACGATTCTAGGGCTAAAAGACGTTTGGGTGAAACAAAAGAAAGACGACGGCCACAACAGAGTTAGATGGGCATTTGGATATGGCCAAAAGTGGCAGAATTCGATGCCGAAACCCCCCTAAACAAAAATAATAAAAAAACCAAACCGAACTGGTTTTTGCTGTTGTTGTCGTCGTTGGCCAAAGCCAAAACGAATTTTGAATGTGGGTGAAGTTGTTAAAAATGTGGCAAACGCAATCGAGGTTAGCTAGAGAACCCCCCTCTCCAACCGATCGGTTGGAACCCCTCCCACAATGATCTGAACCTACTTGGCGCATATTTAGTTATAAACTTGAACGATCTATGTGCGAGTCGAGGAGAGAGACTATGCCCCCAAAGTGAGAGCGAGAGACTAGTTGCAAAAAATGTAAAAAAAATATATACACAGATAAAAAATTTGATATGAAATAGGGTCAATTCTACGTGTTTTTATATCAATAAAAAGACGATAATATTTATGTCGAATTTATGATTAAGACATATCATCTTGATATTTTATCATATCATATAAAATACCAAATGTAGTATTTTTTGAATAAAATACTGTGTTCATATCAAAATGATCTTTAAAAAATATAAAAACTGATCTTTTGTCAATTTTTTTCCTGTGTACAGATACAGATGGATTTACTGAGAGATGGAGATACAAAGATACAGCAATACAGAAATAGAAACAAACAGAAAAACTGAAAAAACAGAGTCCGACTCAGAACAAGCCACAAATGTCGAGATCTGTTTGTCGCGCTTGTCCAATTTGTCCGATTTGGTATGTTTCCTGTTTCGAATTGCCAAAATCAAACATCCAAAAGAGTCCAAAAGAGAGAGAGACACGAGAAAAGCATTACGAATTTATTTTTGCTGGCTGGCCAACCATTTCAATCAATGTTTTTATCCACCTGAGATTATCTTGGGTAATCATGCATTTTTTACATATATCTTTTTATATATCATGTTTGAAAAATCATAGAAACTAGTTAAGTATATAAAATATTGATTATATGAAATAATAATGAGCTTAACATTTTTTATTCTTTTTAAAAATATAAAGGTTATATTGAAATAAGTCGAAACTAATCTGATTTATTCTTTGGTAATATGTTTATTGCAATATTTGTATCTTTGGTAAATGATCTTTAAGAACCCTTGATCGTAATTTTTGACGATATACATTGTACGATTTATGATACGATTCTATTGTTATTTTTATTCAGTTACCAGAAGAGGACCTCCAGCGAAATTGAGTGATAGCCATTGGGAAATCACTCCTCGATTCGCTCACGATCGTTGCGCTTCCGTTTTGGCTTCAGCTACAGTTTTGGAGATCCTTATCGCCATTTGGCAATGAGTGAGTCACCCGGTGTGTGTTACCGCATTGACCGGTAACCGTTTTCTCCAATGGATCACGGATCTCGAATCTTGGATCACGAAAGCCCCTTTAACGTACACAGAGATCATCACGGACGAATTATGGTGCGTGCTGGGGTATGGTATGGAAATGGGTATTCGGGGACTTAAAGACTTTGAGACCCGGGGAAACCGAGGGGATCGGGATCTTCGCCTCGCGGATCGTGCAAATTGCCTGGCCATGCCGGTCTATTTGGCTATTTGTCCACTTTCGGAGGGGGCAGCATATTACTGTGTGTGTTTGTGTGTGTAAATACGGAACATATGTAAATATTAATTTTATTAAGCAAACGTGACTGCAAGATCTCGGACCGACTTTTAAGGCTTTTGGACTTGGCACATTGACGTCGCTGACACGACAACAAAACTGTGTTTGCTTTTCATATTTGGCTTTTCAATTCACAATATTTGTGCTGGCAAAAGTAGTGTGTTTCTTTTATTTTTTTTTTTAAATTTCTTTATCGGTTTTTTTTTGGATTTTTTTTAGGAACTGCGTGGGAGGGTTTACTGGTGGGTGGCGGCCTTGCCTTTGAAGTGCAGGTCCGCCGGATATAAATCGAGTGGATGGTCTACGTGCCTGCTTATCGTTATCGTTGCAAGCGGTAAATCTACATACAGTGTGACCAGATCAGGTAAAGATGTAACAAAAATCAAGACTTGGTACAGTCACCACAAAAGACCAATTTAGCGAGGTTACAGCCTTTCGTTAAATAACAATGATTACGATTAGATTAAAATTTTTTAATCATTCAATTAGACTATAAATGTATATATCCAAATATATCCGAAATTTAACTCCTTCTATATTGGTTTAAAAATAATTAGATAGACATTAAAAATAATTGCTTTGCATATGTATGCATAGATCCCGTTTCAAAGTGAACTCCCATTTCTAGAAACATTTTTTTTTCGCAATCTAAAATTTCCGCGATGACTCAGCGAAATCGATTGATCGTTGGGTATCGATTGCCTTTTTTGGGACTATACAACACTCAACAAACTCCACCCCCTCAACGCTGACCTTTGCGGTTCTAAATTTGGCAACAGTGAACAGTTACGATCGTGAGTGATTTGGTGGCTTGTGCTGGTCACGCTTTTTCCTTTTAGCTTTCTGCCATCCCTAGAATGGTCATTTTTTTTGTTTGTTTGCCAGTTGGGTGGGGGAAAACAACAACCAACTGCAAACTGCAAACTGCAACTCACACCCCCTTCGAAAGATCTCAAATTAGTCAGCGACACTCCATAAATCAGGCACACTCATAGGTAAACCGAAGGAAAACAATCGAGTGTTCCGAATGCTCCAAGTCTGCAAATCCCTGGTATCCATGTCCCCATGTCCAGTTCCACTTGGGACAGCTGCCAATGTCTTGGGGTCCAAGCGATTAGCATACAATTTGTGGGTGGGGGGCGGAGTGTGGGGTTGGCACTCGGGGCCATAAATAATAATCGCTAGGGGTCTTTTGGCTCGCAGTCCCCGGGAGTTTAGAGCTTGGCCGCCTGCAAGTTCGAAGTTGGGAGTTAAAAGAGTTAAGAGTTTCCCGTCTGGCAGTTGTCGGTACAAATTGCACCGTTAATAAAGTCAAAATCGGATTAGACACGGCCCACCGCCCCCTTTTTTTTGTATTTTATTTTATTTTATTTTATTTTGAACAAAACTCAGCTGCAAGCCAAGCCACCTGTGATATCTGTCGGTGATACATTGGACAACCCCTTCCTTCACACCCCAATCAGGTAAAACGAACGGCCCACCCGATCGATCGGTTGGCCAGAAAGCCATAGAGATATTTGATCTGGTCTCTGAGACTGAAATCAAATGGCCAACACAATAAATTCACCTCTAATGAATTTTGATTCATTTCCATTTGCTTTTGGCGTAAACAACTAAATAACTCCAACAATCAATGGATTAAGGGGTTGGTAACGGGGGGCCTTATAGATAATATTGACCCATATATGTCAGAATCGAACGGTAGGCGAGCAACCAGCATATCGGTGACAGAAGCCAAATGATTCGATTTGGCTTGGATTTTTTATAATATGTATAGCTACTATAAAATTCTTGATGGAAAACTATTTATAACGATTTTTTTTTACCATCTTTTAAAGAGAATTATTTTTATAAGTACTTAGTTGAGTGAGGATTTAATAAAAATATTTTAATAAGCCATATCCTAGTATCCCAAAAATATCTTTGTTTTGAAAATGTATTAGATGGATAATTGTATTGTAAATATATTTTTTAAAACCCTATTATATTATCCTAAAAATATATTCGCTTTTAAAATGTATAGGATGGTCATATATATGGACTTTTGTAGTTAGAAGTAATGTCGTATTTCAAATATCGTGACGAATTCAAGCTGAATACCTTTGGTCTACATTATTTGAATATTGATGTCTGTGCTGTGCATTTCTTTCTTTTTAGCTCCACACTTGCATAATGTCACGTTCTCCTCGCTCTAGATGCACAACTTTCTTCGGTTCGTCATTACCCATTTGTTCAGAGCCCCCAACTCCCCAAGAAATCCCCCCCCATTTGGTATGCAATCGATTAAAATTCATTGGGGTTAGCCCAGTATTTATTGGGGTTCCATTTAAATCCATTAAAAATGATTGCGACGAGCCCAATGATTCTTGCGTCTCTGGGAGCGACTATCCCTGGTATTCTTGGCCATTTGTCTGAGTTGCGGATCCACCGGTTGATTGTACTCCTCGAGGAAATCCACCAGAGCCCGGGAAACCTTTAAATTCTCCTGCGTGATGAAACTGATGGCCTCACAGTTGCGGGATTCCGACTGGCAAATCCCAGTGCGGGTTAAACGTTGGACGTAGCCCTCCATGTTGTAGGGAAAATCGTAGTTGATCACATACCTAATGCCGGGCACATCCAATCCCCGCTGGGTCATATCGGTGGCCACGATGATGTTGTAGGAGCCGTGGCGAAAGGCACGGATTATATCATCCCTTTCGGAGGCACTGCGTCCGCCATGGAGGCCGGCGCAGGGAACATAGAGCCGCACAAAGGCCACCAGCTCATCCACTTGTCGCTGGCGCTCCGAATAGATGACCACCTTGCCGGGATTATCGCTCGAATCGTAGATCTCCGCCAGCTGCTTTTTTAGCTGCTCCATCTTGGAGCGACCACTGGTCACCATCACTCGCTGCCTGATCTTGAGTAATCCCTCGCTGGCATCGATCTCACCGCCCACACGAACCAATGTGTAATTACCCATATATTTGCGGGCCAAACGCTGAAGGTCACGCGTCCACGACGTCGCCGAGATGACCAACTGGGCCTGGCGATGCATCAGGCTGAGGAGTCGACACAATTGACCCTTGAATCCCACATCCAGCAAACGATCAATGTCATCAATCACCAAGTAGGTGCAACGATCCAGCGAAATTGTAGGCATCAGTTCCAGGAAACGACCGGCCGTGGCCACCAGAAGATCGGGCGAAGAATTGTTGGCAATGCTGCGACGGCCACTGCCCATGATGCACTGGCTCCTCAGCTCCCGGGGATTCGTATAGGCCACCGCCTCCTTTTGCACCAACAGGGCTGCCTCGCGACAGTCCACCAGAACCAGGACAATGGGTCCATCGTTCCGGCGACGACTGCTGGTGGATTGGTGATGATGATGATGCTCCGCTTGGATCTTCCGGATGCCCGGCAGCAGGCAGCCCAGCGTTTTGCCCGTCCCAGAGCCGGAAACCATCATCAGATTGGTGCCAGCCAGGGCAACGGGCCAGGATTGGGCCTGAATGGGTGTGGGCGACGCGTAGCCACGGAGCTCCAGGCGACGGGTGATGCTCTGGCCGAAGCCACTGCGACGAAAGCTTTGGATCGGCTTGGGAGCGGAACGGTGGTCACAGCTGGCCACGGAAATTTGATGACGTCGCCGGTAGAACTCCGTTTCGTAATAGTAGTCGTCATCATTGTCATCTAAGCGACTACGGGAAGTACGGGGACTACGGCTTCTGGTGGGAGAACGATTCTTCTTCCAGGGATTGGAAGTCCGTTGGAAACTGCGACTTCTGTTCCTTCCAGAATTGAAACTCCGTTGGAAACTGCGGCTTCTGGTCACTGAACGATAGTTCCTTCTCTTCTCTACAGAAGAATCCGAATCGGAAAAACTCTGGAATTTCTTTCCAGGATTGGAACTCCGATGGAAACTGCGACTTTTGGTCACGGAGCGGTTCTTTCCAGGATTGGCACTCCGTTGGAAACTGCGACTTCTGGTCACTAAACGAGATTTCCTTCTCTTTTCTACAGAAGAATCCGAATCGGAGTCGGAGTAGATATTATCTATACGATGGAGACTCTGGGAATTCTTTCCAGGATTAGAATTCCGTTGGAAACTGCTACTTTTGATCCCTGAACGAGATTTCCTTCTATTTTCTACAGAAGAATCCGAATCGGAGTCCGAGTAGATATTATCTATACGATGGTGACTCTGGGAATTCTTTCCAGGATTGGAACTCCCTTGGGAAATGCGACTTTTGATCACTGAACGGTATTTCTTTCTCTTTTCTACAGAAGAATCCGAATCGGAGTCCGAGTAGATATTACCTATACGATAGAAACTACGGCTTCTGGTGGAAGAACTCTTGGAATTCTTTCCAGGATTGGAACTCCCTTGGGAACTGCGACTTTTGTTGACTGAACGATTCTTCCCAGGAATGGAACTCCCTTTAGAACTGCGACTTTTGGTCACTGAACGATTCTTCGCTCTCTTTTCTAGAGGAGAATCCGAATCCGAGTAGTTTTTATATATACGATGGGGACTACGGCTTCTGGCAGTAGAACGATTCGTCCCAGGATTGGAACTCCCTTGGGAACTGCGACTTTTGGTCACTGAACGATTCTTCCTTCTCTTTTCTAGAGTAGAATCCGAATTGGAATCGGAATCTGAATCCGACGAAGATTTGGCCGAGGAGCTTGAGCTCGATTCCGTACTGGATGACTTTGGGGATTTGGAACGCTTACGTATCGGACTATTCGGCTTTTCATCTTCTGTCGGCTTAACTTTTTCCTCAGCTCCTTGGACTTGGATTTTCTCCTCCGAAACATCGTCTTTCATCTTAATCATCTCCGCGTTTTCACCTTTCTCGCACATTTTTGCTCTAGTTTTTCCTCGCCCTAACTTTTTGCCAAGTTTCGCTTTTTTTTCACTTGTCAAGACAGCGAAATGTCAATCGTAGTGAAAAAGGACTAAAGGAGAGGAGACAACTCTAAACTTTGGTGTTGGTCAAGATTTTCAGGGTTTTGTAGTGTTGAAAAAAATAGTTTTGGAAAATTAATCGCATAAAATATGTATTGTAAAATATTTTATTGGGCTTAGTAATTTTAACAAACTATAATAATAAGTTTTTAATTATAATTAAAAATTCCAGTTTTTTGTTATTTGTCTACAGAAAATATTATCATACAGTTCTTTTATTTTTAAATATTCTAAAAGATTTAAGTAATGTTATTTTTCCAATCCGATTTGTTTGTGCATAATTTAAGTGGACTTTTATGGGCTTGAACATATTTAATTTTCCGAGTTGAGGAGACTCTGTCCCAGTTCCGGACAGAGTTACGGATGCGGGTTTCTTTCTTTCTTATTTGGACTCCGCTGGCGGAAGTGCAGAGCTCTCTTACCCAATCGAAAGACCCAAAAGAGAGCTCCGTATTATCTTTGGCCCCCGTTGGGTTATGGTTATCGTATAATTGACCACTGTGTGAGTGAGTCTCTGAATGTTTGGTCAATTAAAAGCATTCGCTGGCTTTTTATCAAATTCAATTAGCCGACGACGAAAACCAAACAAAATGCCCAAAAAATGAAAAAAACTTAAATAGCGGAAAAGAGTCGGCAACAAAGTTGCTCAATGGGAACTGCACTTAAAAAAATATATATGCATACATATTCATGCATAAACGAGCAAGTTCTAACTATAGAAAATCCGTATAATTAACTAGATAAATTGGCAAGCAATTGGCTGTACAGATCGTTAAGGCAATTCGCTAATGATCGTCAGACAGCTAACGATCTCCTTTGGCTAATTGGCCCCCAGTACATAAATATATTCGTTTTATTTTTTTTTTTTAGACCACCCTTCGTTTAAAGTGGCCATCAAGTGGTAATTACGATCGTTGTTGGAACGATGAAGACATCAAATCGCAATGCATCGCCTCAGAATTTTAGAGCCCCAATCTCAATCTCTCAATCCCATAAACCCCTTCTTTTTCTTCTTGCCGGAGTTTCAATTAAAGTTCCATTAACGCTTCGCGACACACACAATTATCAAAAATTATATTTATGCTTATGACATTTCCGGCAGTTCCCCCAAAAAGAAATCTTTCGGTATAGTGCAAAATTTATGCCCCCCGTCTCTTCTGAGTCATTTCATTTATTTCGAGACAGCGCAGACAGAAGATCAAAGCAACTTCATGATTATGCTGCACGCATATCCATCACCATATCGAGCACTCGCCTCGGGGTGGAGTTGTCTATGGGTATGGGTATATGAGATCCAATGGGGAATTGGGGATTTCGAGGGGGTATATCCGAACTGAGGTGTGTGTGCTTGTGCAGGTGAGGCTGTAGATCGCTGTGTGTGGCTACAGTGGTTAATCGGGGAGTGGATAATCGGCACTAACCGTATGAAAACAGCATTAGCTTCAACACTTATTCAGTGCAACCAAGCCCACACAAATGTTTAATAAACGATAACTTCATATTTAAAGGCGTAAATATTAGGTATATCGAAATATTAAGACAAATGAATAGTAATAAAAATATTTAACAATTATTTGTTTCATTAAAAATGATTTACAAACCACCAAAAAATAATAAAAAAAATCAAAAGCTAACTTATCAAAAAATCTGATTTTAATATAATAAAATTAAAAAACGTGATAACTATTTTCAGCTAATTTAATTTAAATCAAGCTCAAATGGTTTAATAATAATGTAAATTCGTAACAATCAAAAACAAAAAATCGTAAGAAATTAGAATTTTTAAAATAATAATTATGTTACTTGAACATTTTTGTATTTTTTATCAAAGTACTTTTACTTTACTTGTACACGGAAATATTTTACGATTATTTTCAACATTAACTGACCGATAGTTACATTGCCCAACACTAAAAATAATTTATGCCAGAATGTTCTAATGGAACTAACTATATTTTGGTTATGGTTGCTCGGCAAAGTTCCTCGAAAAAAAAGAGCTAAAAATCTACACACTCGGAAGACACGAGAAAAGATCCGCGGCGCAGCAGGAGACCCCCAAAGGGGGCAAGGAGATCTCGTTGCAGATACGAGTCCGCAAAACAGAAAAACAGAAAACAGAAAATAAAACACAAACTGCAACGGCAACATCGGGGCAACAGCAACATCAACAGCAACAGCAACACAGCACAAGTAAAGACAAATTGTCTACGGGTTGAGGTCTTGCTATTGGCCTCCAGCGTGACGATGTCGGGTGCTACTGGCGCCACTCAGCGCCAACAAAACAGAAAAGAGGGCCAAAAAGGCAGGGGGTGGGGGTATGGGGCTTGGGGTATGGGTACTATAGCTGTGGTTATGGCATGTGGCATGCGCCACCCAAACCAAACCAAGCCAAACCGAAAAGCCAAAAGACTAAAAGAAAACCCAAAGCGAATAGAATTTCGGATCAAAGCATATTATAATTTAAATAAACATAACCAGATAATATAAATTATTTAAAAATTGATTATGAATCGAATGATTTCCCTAGGATCTATACGAATTTCATACACACATTCAACATATAGTGAAGAATTCGCGGTTTTTCATTTTCTATAATAATTAGCCTTTTGTGATGCCTTTAAATCAATAAATTTTCAAGTCCTGACGGAAAACATTTAAATATTGAACAAATAATAAAACAAATAAAATATTTTTTTGGTATCTGTATTTTTAATTTTTCTCCAAATAATCCATAACAATCCATATGATAATGAGCCTTGGAAGTGATGCCATTATAACAATAAATTTTTAAATCTTGACAGAATAAATTTGAATATTAACTAAATGCAAAAATTAAATAAATTATTTTTGGTACAGGGATTTTACATTTTTTCCTACAAAATCAATGTTTTTTCTGCAATCGGCGACCTGGTCTTGAGCTGAGTTAACTTTATTAGTGATTCTCCAAATCCTTGTTTCTATTGAATCCTCATTATTTAAACCCGCTGACTCCGATATTTCTAATTCTTCTTCAGGTGCCTCATCTTGAGCATTTTGGTCATCCGGTAATGGAAATTCGATGGGATCCGTGTTAGCAGAGCTAGGAATCTGTTGATCTTGAACATTGTACTCTTCGGGGTAATCGCCAATTAACAATTTGATATTCTTGACAATATATTGAAGTTTAATGTCCATAGAACACTTGAGCGCTGACCTAGGGATCTGTGGCCAAGGAACTCGTTGGTGAAAGGAGCATTGAGATTCCCTCGCATATTTCGACACGTCATCTTCTTTGCATTGCGAGGATTCCTGAAGATATCCCATATCTTCCAAAGGAATAAAAATACGTTCTCTGCGTAAAGCGCGAAATGATCCCCGAAAAGATGGTGGTGGTGGACACATGGCATAGTCCTTTAAATTCCCAAAATGATCATTATCCGTTTGGCACACCTTTTCATGAGATCCAAAATTTACTGGTTCTTCGATATTTGCATTCTTTGGCTCTTCCAAGGGAATACAGTAATCTTCACAAAATACTTCGCCTTCGAGCGTGACATTATCCAAATCAGAAACAGCCGGCTGGTCAAATAGCATTTCCACTGGTTCTGATACTGAAACTTTTGGAGGGATAGTTTTCCGATCCAAATCAACAGTATTGCTACTTGAAGGACCTATTTCTAGAATTTCAGTTGCATCGGGAAAACTGGCTTGAATACATTTATCACTGACGCAGAGACTTTCCAATGGGGTCACCTCGATATTATTATCTGCGGGTTGAGAAGTTCTTTTCTAAGGAGGTGAATACTATTATAGTTGATTTTGTTTTTACCTAGCCTTACTGGTTCGATTTCCGGAGCATTTGGCTGCGGTGCAGAGTTCGAAGCCTGTTCATCGATTATCGATTGTCGCACCTCGAGACGCTTGGAGGTATCGGACTCAGTGCTGTTGCTCCTTAACTTAAGTTTTGATCCATTGGCCTTGCGTTTCGGAGCGGTTTTAGCTTTAAATTCAGTTCTGGGGCTCACCTCAATGACACTCGGTTCGAGATTGCAATCGTAGAGCGCCTTAAACCATTGTGCAAACTCTAGATTCTCTCGATAGCCCCCGTCGACCAATCGGTTCATCGGTATATTCCTATCGATCCGAAGTTTGTGCAGGGCCGTGTGAAGCAAAATCAAGTTGTGTGTTGCGCTGTACGGAGAACCATCGAATTTCACTTTTTTCATGTTTATTGCCGCTGGTCGAAGCTTAACCAGCAGCATACAGTACTCAACGCCATGGCCCAAAGACTCTAGCTTCGAGACCCTCCTACCAACCGACTCGTAAACCCATTCTAGTATCGAACTACGCGAATATGAACACGAGTTCTTTCCCGAGCGCGTTTGTATCACGTTCTTCAAGGGTATCATGTTTGTCGTTACGAAAACTTTATGCAGATTAAAAAGTTACACAAAATTATATGAAATAAAATACAAATTTTTGGAAAACACTAGAAGTTGTTTCACCGAGCTAACAAAATTTAGATGTTCTTGTTTTGGTGTTCAAGTTAGAACTGACTGGGTTCCATATAGCTACTGACATTGAAACTTCAAGGCCCCTATGATCTCGAGTTTGGAATTGAGTTTTCGGATAAGTCAACTTGGGATTTTACTTATACATTTTTAGGAATTATTACCATGCTTTTAACCTAATTTACGATTTCTATAATTGATATCTTAATATTCCCAACTTAAAAGGTGGGAATTCCTTTGTGCCTTTTCGCTCATTATCCCTGCCCCCTGGCTTATTTTCTGTGCTTCATTTAAATTATGAACTCTTCACAAATGCTCTCGGTTGAGCAACTAAGCTCTGGCTCAATGAACCCCCGGTGACCTGGATTTTTCCTGGCTTGCTGTTTTTTTTCCCAGCTTTTCCGAGTGCCGTTGGCCAGGTAAGAAGCTTTTTAGCCAAGGCATAAAAGATGAAATGGAAATGGGAATGGAAATCTGTCGAGCTCTTAGCACTTGCCGTGCACTCAGAAAAAAAAATTATATGAAACGATGATCGATTTTACGTTATGTGGTATCAATTCTGACTGGATATGCTCGAAATGTAAGGAGCAATGCAGTTACAATTTTGAAAGTGTCTTTCTCCCTCCCACTCTCGCTCTATTTCGAATTTCGAGAGTTTTTATTTCTCGCTCCCACTCACGCAATTTAAATGTGCACAACCGATATACCTGAAAATTTACCATGTGCATATCGATTTGACCGCGTTTTGCTTTTTTGTGTGTAGAGTGGAGAGTGTTGCATTTAATGGTTGTGTGAATTTAGGGTGGGGGCTTGACTTACCTTGCACAATGCCACGCCTGTGTCCAAGCGATCCATGAAGTTCTCCGCGTTGATGCTCAGTTCCGGATAGAGGGTGCTAAGCCATTCGGCCAGATCCTCCTTCATGGCCTCCAGATACTCCTCGCTGGATTTGAATGGCCTATAGGGCCTTGCTTCTAACATGGCCATGGCGTCGTTATAACTTTGTGATTTTCTCCTCCAAAAACTCTTTCTTTGCCTTAGCTTTCGATTTCAATATTTGGGGTTTTTTATATATTATTGTTATTTTATATACTTTTTTAGCAAAGATTGGTCGTCGTGTTTTCGTTACGCTTTTGGTTGCAGTGCATCGCGTCTGGTTCGGATTAGCTTTTCGGTTCGGTTCGGTTCGGTTCGATATTAAGCTGAAATAAGAAGAGAAAACATGCATTTTAGCTATTTACTTCATTAAAGAAAAAAAAAACAAAAGAATTTCCTCAAACCCCCCGTTGATTGATGATATACAATCAGATTGCCAGCAAGTGGATAATAAATTGTAAAAAATTGTTGCACCAAAACGTTGTGAATTTATGATTGTGCCACTGCAGCTGACATAATTATGGGTACTACAAAAAACCGCAGCGGCAACGGCAAACCGCCGCCGCCGCTGGCAAAAGTTATACAAATAAAATCAATAAATAAAACATAAAAGTCGGTGAGTTGAAAAAGGCCCAGACAATCGACAAACCAACAGCCGACTGCAAAACAATGTTGGTATTGGGCGCCAGGTTAATGGCATCTCACACCCAAGTGCTTCACTTTTTTTTTTTTTTTTGTAACTCTCATTAACAGGTCGGTTAATCCAGCGACTAATTAGCGGTAACTCCAATTGAACTGTGAACTTCGGTCGTCGGTCAGAAAAAGACGATCCCCACTACAGCAACCAACACAAATCCAAGGCCAGTCATAAAACTTATGCCTTATCACGGGCGTTTATCGAATTATATCGTTGCATAAGGATGCCGCAACAGGATTTGACCTTGGGCCATCAGAACAGGTTGAGTTTTCAGGTGCCCACAAAAACCCGCCCCTCATTAATCCTCCACTGGGATTAAGCCTTTGTGGCAACGATTGCAGTCAGGACAAAGGAAAGCGAAGGGGAAAAAATGTATATATAAAATATATTAAATTCACAAGGAAAAGAATTTATATTTATGACATTTCTATGAATTAAAAGGCAAAGTTCATGGAATATTGGAATAGAGTAACATGTAGTTAACTGTATTTACAAGAAGTACCTATATTGTATTCCAAGAAAAAGTAGTAATATAATTTTCAGAATATTTATTTAATGCATAGCTATGTGTTAAAAATGCGCCCCACGTTGGGCGCCAAAGTATAAAATGCAAATTCTAATGCGAAATCAAAATCAAATATTTGGGCATTTGCCACACCTGCTTTATATTAATTAGGCCAGGTCGAAATCTATATATAGGATCGATCGATTGGTAATAATAAACAGAAAAAACCCAAAAACCAATGGGTGAAAGAGTGGGAACAAAGCTTAAAGAAATCGAACACCATTCGCATTCGGCATTCCGCTGTTCGGTTTTTTTTTTCGGCTTTAAATGTTTTGTGTATTTAATTCGCCTGGCTATTGGGATCCGTTGGTCTCCGTTGGTGCTGTGTATTAAGTGCTTACGTAACCGATGAGGCTGGTCTTAATTAAGGCGCACCGATTTGGCCACTTACGTGTTTTTTCAAAGTGATCAGGCGGATTCGGAATCGGATTCGAATTCGCATTCGCATATATTCGCATGCGGACAAGTACAAACAAAAAAAAAAACCCATGTGTGTTGGCTAATTTGCTGGCCATTGATGGGTTAAGTTAAAAAAATCAAAAATCAAACCTCCCGGGGGGTTTATTTTAGTTTGGTTTTTGCCTAAATCCGCATCTCATCCCCCGGATTTCACTTTCGCACTTGCGAAAATCTGTTTATTTTTGCCTAGATCGATCAATCTATTCACATGCCACGCCCCCCTGCTGGCTGCCCCAAAAGTCTGAAGAATGACTGAAAACAAAAAGAAAATCGAAAAACGCAAAAAAACGCAAAAAGTCGCAAACTTTCGAGACAAACAAATATGCAAATGCTCGCTGGCCTTTTGTTCGAATGATTAGCGGTATTTTTGAAAGTGAATTTAATTAAAAAATCGGCATCCAAACACAGCACAGCACAGAAAATGTATAAACAACACACACATTTTGCATAGGATGCGTCGTCGTCGTCGGCATCGATTCGCATATCGCATATAAGGCCTGTCCCATTCCCATTCCAAACCAATGCGATCCAATCTCCTCCCATCGCCAAGTCCGGTAATTGAATGTATGCCCCTCTACCGTTTTGTTTTTTATTTTTATTTTTTGGCCTTTGCTGATTTCCACATTCGAAATTGTCATTACAACTCCCCCGCATTTCCCGTCTGTTTACTTTATTGTTTCCCACTTATCTAACCAAAGTTCCCAAGTTCCCAGTTATTAAGGGTTCTCGTATTTATATTCACTATCAGATATTGCAGCAAGTGTTCAATATGACCTTGTCTATCGTAAGAAAACAGTGTCTATCTTTAAGGGTTTTCTAGAAGTGTGGGTAGTAATCATAAAGAAGTATGGTGTAACTATAAACTAGCTATCTTTCGATTTATAAACTATACTATATAGTAAGTGTAATTTTTATAGGATCATTGTGAAGTTTATATGATTTATGGGGACTGTTCCAATTAGGGAATATTAAGAAGGGGTTTTTTATATATAATTATCTTGCTATTATTTATATTTTTCTTAGTTCTTTAAACTTACTGTTGAACAACAAACGAACTAATGAACAACCCCCTCCTAACTTTTCAATTTTTTTGTATTTTTCCTCAGCTTTTTCCCCTCATCTTTCACAATGCTAAAGTGTGAATTGCCGAATGACAGTAAAAGTGATCGAGAGTGTGAAGCGATAACAGCCACAACAAAAACAACAGCTTGTAGCTTTGGTCAAAACAACAGTGAGTATGGAAAATATGTTATAAAAGTATCGAATTCAATCGGCTGCTGCTGTTGACTTTTTCAATTAACAATTACAAACATCGCAAAAGAGATAGAGTTTGTATTTTTAGTTGGGTCATGCGATAGAGTTTCACAATAGTTGGGTGGGGGGGGGGGTTGGTACATCCATCCATATCCCATATCGATATACAATGGACCCAATAGGAAAGTTATACCAGAGAGACTTGGGCATTTCAAGTGCAAATGAAACAAGATATCAAGTATGTGTTGCATATCCAAGAGATACTTGACGCTTTTCAATTGTTTGGGTTCAATATATCAGCTTGATTAGAGGTCTATAAATGGTTAAGAAATGCTAATAAAGGGTTATGGTAATATTTTTATAAAAACTTTTGAAAGAAACTTTCCCCTAGAATAACTCCTAGTTAAATGCTATAATTTTTCCCATCATTTTCCTATAATTTTCCTATAATTTTTCCAGTGTACTCCCTGGAGAGTTCTCCAACGCACAACTCCATCCCCATTATTTCCATTTATGCCACCCAAACGTTCAATGACACTCGAAGCGACAATCGAAACGATTTCGTTTCAGGCCGCCACATTCAATGGGAATGCAGTTCACACTCCCACTTCGGATCCATCTCCATCTCCATCTCCCTAGACTCTCGAAACCATCCGAACTTGATGCACTCACATCTGTCAGAAATTTCAGTGTCGAATGTGGACCATGGACCATGATTTTCAGTACAGACATACATATATGTATGTATTTTCGATGCAGCTAGCTCTGTCTCCGTTGAGTGCTCCCCATTCAACAACAACATTTCAAATCTCGTTCAAGTGCAAAAGTTATTTTCACAAGTTATTATCTATCCATTTTCAGCCATTGAGGGCCAACAACAATGGTAACACTCGGCACTCGAATGGAGTTTTGCCTATCCCAATATGTTCAACCCCCCATTTGAATGTTTAGCTCCTTTTGAGGCCCGTTCCCTTTTCGTCCGCTCCTTTGTCCGTTGATGCATTGTCATCCACATTGCATTCCATGCTATGCATATGCATAATATCCCATCATCAGCCATAAATGTCAGCACTATCCCTCATCCTATTCCTCCTCATTTTCCGCCATCGCATTTTCCCCCGTCGCTTTTTGGTTAAATGCACTTGCCGCCGGAGTTTCCTTTTTGACGCTTTGTCTCCGCTTTCCTTTCCGCTTTTCGTCATTTACGGCTAAATCAATAGACGCCCAGACAAAAGGAGAACCGGCGCCGCCATTTTGTAGTTAAGAATCAAAAAATATAGTATGCAAAAAGAATGTTTTACAGTGGTTTGGACTGTGGAAAATGAAACCATAAGATATGGCATACATTTATTATAATGGAATCTCCATAAGTCGAACGCCGGCGACTGTGAATTAATTTTTTCAAAATTAATTGGTATAAATAACGATTTATTGTATGTGAACATAAAAACTGAACATGATACGGCTTTAAAAAATTGCATATTTTATGGGAATCGAACATGAAGCCAAGATATGTTATTAATTTGGTGATTTCGGGATATATGGACAAATTAATTTATACCTTAAACTTTATTTATGCATTTTTATAATGAATTCATGAATATCTTTACGATTATTGTCGATATTAGTGTTATTTATGTGAACAAACACAAGTTATTGTAAAATGCCGTATTAATTTATTGAGTTAGGTTTATGGTACCATAAATGCCCCGCGTTGGGCGCCAATTATTTGAACTGACTAGTACGTTGAGTGTAATACATTACAAATCAGTTTTAAAATTTTAAGACAATATTTCTAGTAACTCAGAACCACTGTATAATTTTTGTGCTCGCATAGATACTTATATATTAGCCAAATGGTGCTGGGGGACTGACGGTGATGTCGCCTGACGATTTTATTGGAGTGTGGAGTGGGTGGCGTGTGTGGGAGGACGACGACCTTGGACCAGCTGAGCACTACGAGAGGGGGATTACGAGAGAGTGGGAGTGGGTACCAATGAGCGAGTAAGGAAATCAACTGGCATCGGGCCAAAATTAAAGTTCACAGAACTGACTCACCCAAAAGCAAATAATTGAGCTCCTCACAAAGACACAAAGAAAGAGGTATTTTGTGTTTTTTTTTTTGTTGTCTCGTCTGGCCTTAAGTAGATCAAATCTCCACTCACACACATGTTAACCTTCTAAAGCCCCTATATCATTTGAAAGGGCAAAGAAAACACAATACAAAAACTAAAGAACTGCAAATCAGCGGCAAAGGCAGCAGCAACATAAAAAACTTGTCGCTGAATGGCCGCTTTTTGTAGAAATGTCGCAGAAACTTAATTTACAATTTATTTTGCCTCCGTCTGTGT